CCTCTGATACTTGGCACCCGGGGCGCCCCCCCCCCCCTACGCCGCTACTGCATCTTTGAGCTGTCAGTAAACCAGATTAGGCTGTTCTGTTGGGATTTTGGTCCTCTTTTCTATCTATCCACTTACTTATTAGATCAATCCAAGGGGTTCGCGTATAGGATTAGTTACAAGCAACCGACTCAGTCTTCCCTTTACCCGACTGGTTGGGGTGGACCAGAGCCGATAGCAAGATGGGGAGCCTACATGGACCGGTTTGCCCGTAGCTGCCGAGGCTTGCCTGGAAATGGTGAGATGTAAGTGCAAGAAGTAGTGCAGAAGCTGGTGNGTACTATTATGTAGCTATTTATATTATGTTATTGCTATTTATCTATGAAAATAAGACAAAATATATGTTTTATAAACACTTAAGAGTCATTTACAGTAGTAAAGTTTGAAAAAAATATTGCTGTGAAGTACAGAATCACTTTCGTGGCATCAAAAAATTCAAAACGTTAAAGCTTCCAAACGAGACTCACTATTTGACTGATTTACTGAGAATACAATCTTCACATCAAGCGCTACAATGTTTGTTTACAAAAAGTTGAAATAAGTTAGAAATAAAATTCGCCACGAAGGTGACGATGAGAACCGTGGCGATGAGAAATAGCCATTTACGATGTAGGCGGGTCGCGTGCCACCCTGCAATGCACTCTAGTCTGGAAGGGACGTCAAATAAAACCTTCGTCAAAAGACAAAGGGTTGCACTTCTTCTCATTATGAAAATTCAGGCAAGTTTAAAGGCTACAGACTATGCAAAGCACTAAACTTTTTACTTAGGTACATTTCTTCAACTGTTACATAGGTATTAATATTTGTTAGTTGTTAAATACGTTCAACCCTAGTAAGAACCTACAATAATGTTACTTTGTTCTCAACTTTACAGTGACATTAATTTTCGTTACCTAGAACGAACTTTCCTGTTACTGCCTGTGATGTGAGTTAAAATTTTTAAATATTAACGTAAATTTTTACAAGCTAAACTCTGTGGCATCTTATGTAGCTGTTATAAGTAGGGTGATGCTAAAGTAATTAGCCTATACATAGTTATTGGCATATTGGATTGTTAATAAGTAAGAGACAAAAATATTTACTACATTGGACTGCGTATTGCTCAGAAAAAATATTTGTCTCTTTTCCTCTCTTAATAACTTCCATTAGGCTTGTTTCTTTTCATTTTAGGCAAGTTGGCCAATACTATGTATTGGCTAATTACTATAGCGATCACCCTAAATGTTTCTTTAGACCAAAAATGTATGGCCTGATCAGGATGGCTGTCCATTGTATCCTATTTTCAGTAAATCCCCTTAAGCAGACATTATTATAAATAACACCAACAAACTTCACGTTAAAGTGTCCCTAGGGAGCTATGGTCGTATTTATTAGAATGTAGAGTCGCTCAGCCTGACTTACGCATAGGAGTTGTATCTGTAGTCCTCCTCCATCTGCTGCTGGCGGATCTGGTAGCCCGGGTCGTACTCCGCGGGCGCGGCCCAGCCGTTGTCGTAGCCGTAGTAGTCCCCGTAGCCCATCTCGCCTTCGCCCATCATTCTCATCATACACTTGAACCACACTCCAAAACCACACAACCACCCACTTATAACAACCAAACAATTTAATGATAAATCCCAGGCGACAAAAAGTCCGATGGTCACCTTCCGCACGATATCAGGCGCAACTCGCCAGGCCGCAGATGGACTGCAAGCGATCTATCGACTGATCGATGCCTCATCGCCTTATCAATAAAATTGTATCCTTATCATATCTACCAGCTTTCCCCTGCGATATGGGACTTTTATGAAATACGACGGCGCACCGACCACGCCAATATTGCAGATAGAAGATAGCTTTATCATGTCAGATGTAATATTCTAGGTATACTACGTTAAACGTGCCAGTGTCAGCGGCGGACTTAAATCCAGGAATGACAGGTGACGATCTAAAAACCGTGATAAAAACAGAAACATGTTGGTTTTATGCTATTCCTTATCGATTAGAAGCGATATAGGTAGTAGTGCGTCATAGTTCTGTAAACTAGGTAACGCCTAACGATAATACCATAGAATTGTAAACCCGTGGCAAAACACATTCATTTTACGTAAGGCACACATGCTCAATAGAAATATGTATTAGAAAAGTCAATTAATCGAGTAACTAGCATAGTATGTAGATAAGACAAGCTTGCAAGCATGAAGTTTAAGATGTACCTAGTAGGTATTTCAATAAAGTAATTTAGGAAGCTTATTGTTTTATCAGAAATCTATTTAAAGCTAAATTTACAGAATGTTTAGTAATTTGGTATTATTTATGTTTATTTTTTTGGTTAAATGTGAAGAAATACAATTTAAAAATTTAAAGCAATAGCAATCAAAAAGGGTGACAAGGCATTTCAGCACCGCTGTAAGTGTATGTAGTCAGCTAACCACATCTTTACATAGGATTTTAGTTTCTTTCTAATAATATTTTGCAGTTTTTTTTATATTCTCCATAAACCTCACAATAAAAAGTAAAAAATATATAAAATTGTAATCTGAAATGCTAGTAGCTTCGGTTCCACTTCCTTGTACAAACTCTGCTATTTACATATCTATTTTAATCAAAGCTACTCATCGACATAGTAGCAGGTGTTACATTATGTGACAGTTACATTTACAAGTGTTACAAAAAGGCGATTGTTACCTCTGGTGGGACTCGAACCCACAATCCTCGGCTTAGGAGGCCGATGCCTTATCCATTGGGCCACAGAGGCGAGCGGCAGACCGGCGCGAGAGGCGCACCGCGTTCGGCGAGCCGCTTGCGTCACGCCGCGTCACGCGCTCTGTGCGGGTGCGACCACTGCGATAATTAACAGAAAGCTATTAGTCATAGCACTATCAACGCGCCATACGCTTTTTGCGGCACGGCCGTAGGTGTAGATGGCCCCGGTAACCGGATCTACTCGTTGCCGTGTTTAGATATTCATTCATTCATACTAGGATTGTAAGTGGAACAGTTATAGATGCTCTGACGCGTGGACATAGTATCGTCATCTTCGGACTTGCGTAAATCTGAATGTGGTGGGGTATGAACCTAATCTAGCAATGAGTTTAAGCTTCCCGAAACTTGGTATTCGATTTGATTAAAAACCTGTACTCCTACTGACTGTTGACTGGGAGAAACTGCCCAATAGATGAAAATGTTTGTCTTTTGAACTGAGCTTTCCGTATTTTTTTTACTTTAACTTAAGTATTATACTTACTTATTCGGAACTAGTAAATCCCACTCTACTACTCTACCACACTGCTGAGGTAGATATATAGCATTTAGCAGCGGTAGGATTAGAACCCGCAACCCGGAATCGCAGTTGGGAGCCGTAATTACCGTGTGAAAGAGTAGTCTAGTCGTAACTAACATATAAGTTCAGAAATCATTACCGGTAAGTATGTAAGTCGAAGTAAGTAAGCCTCACGAAGAGTCGGTACAATCCACTCTAATAATGTAATATGAAATATCTCCCTAAGTTTTTCATAAATTGAAGCAAAAAGTCCACTTTTGTTACTGATTTGCATGATATACTTACGTAACGTAACGTTAATTACATCCACTTGTATCGAATCGAATAATAAACAAGTGAACTATGTCACTATTTTTAATCGCCGACCAGTTGCGTGACGTAATCGACAACATTATTATGAATAGTATTATAAAGCACAGTAAATTTAAATAAACTATAATAGTTCAAAAACAAACAGAATCTTCGGGTTGTCGCGACATGTGTGGCCCAGGGGTAACAACCTGTAAGAGTCGTTAGGTTCCATAATAAGTACTATACATATTCCGTATGGGACATTCCCGTTAACATCGAGAAATAGAGACTGCATAGTTGTTAATATTTGACCTACTAAGCTCAATTAATATTTTAGCAGTGCAGTTTGAAAATAAACTGAATTTGTATTCATAGGTAGAAATTGAATCATTCCTCCACCTGAAAATTTACGTCAAATCTAAGTGTTGCCAGCAATCAGCAAAAAAAAAGAAAATGATTCGATAAAAATTTGCTGTATTTATTTAATTTTTATACATCGATTAAAATTATTACATATTGGAATATAAACAGGGTATAGTTTAATTATAGCTTTATTTATAAAAGAATATCACACTGTATGCTACACCTTTACAAACATATTTATTACAATGAAGCTTCATTAAAAAGATACAAATATAGCGTATATTTTCATTAACATACTTCAAGACTACTAAAATTAAAATGTGGAACAGTGAAATGATGCCAAATCGTCACCAATGTTTTGATAGTGATAATGTTTATAATGCTATTATACTAACAAACCTTTCACAGTAAATTTTAATTCATACAAATTATAATGAAGGACGATAAAGATTGTGACAAAGAAATGAGTTATCCATTGAATCGCAAGAAGAATTACATTTCATAAAAGATTGATTAGCAAACCAATTATAAGTATCAATTTTATTGGTTCGTCTATAGTACATTAAATGTTAAAACCACAGTTAAAAAACAATGCTTTTAGTGTTTTTCTGTTTAAAATCCAGCAATCCAACTATGAACTATTTCTTTTTCAACATAAATATCCATTTACTTTGGTTTAATCAATAGAGAACTCTAGGTATATTTATATGCTCTACTTATCTAATAAATGACTTTTTGTCATTGTAAACTTTATCTGCGTGGAAAAGCACTCGCTGAATGGATAGGATAAAGTATGTCAATAAACCCGTTTCAGCTCGGAATGACAACTTCTCAAAATGACAACCGGGGCGCAAAATGTCCACTTCTCGAAATGACAACTTCTTAAAATGTCAACTTCGCTAAAAGACAACTTCTCATAATGTCTATTTCTCACAATGACAAATTCGCATTTGGTCAACTTCACATAATGACAACTCTAGAAGAACTAGAACTCTATAAATAATGAAAATAAAATATCAACAAGAGGTTGTCTTTTAGCGAAGTTGACATTTTAAGAAGTTGTCATTTCGAGAAGTGGACATTTTGCGCCCCGGTTGTCATTTTGAGAAGTTTTCATTCCGAGCTGAAACGAATAAACCGTGCATACCCAAACAAAGAATGAACTTTTTATAACTTTGTAATTATACGTTTTGCTGTCCATAAGAACCATGAGACTATTGTTTGATAATGGCTCGATACTTTACCAAATGAACGGTTGATGACCTTTGCAGCCCTCTTTTTAACTACATGACTATAATTGGCATAACCTATTTCAAAAATGAATACGCCGTCATTCCAAGGCTTCGAGGTTTGCTTGTTGTAACAAAACGTTTACAAAATAGATGTTTGTCTAAGCAATATTTTTAATAGAGATCAAAATAAATATGTCTTCTATTTTAAAATGGCGTCATCATTGAAATCTATATAGATAATATTATCTAGAAGACACAAATCTATCGCGCAGCTACAGGTTGTTTGGAGGTGCAGGAGTAGTGGACGATTTCTCCGTTGGGGTAGCGCACGAAAGCGCTCTGGTTGCCGAATCGCTTCTTGCAAACTGGACACACGTCGTAGTCGGCTATCACCACGTTCTTCGACTCGTGGAAATGCTTTAGCTCTTGCACCTAGTAGACAAACAAAGAAAATTTTAGGTAAATTTTACCGATTTGACTCGTAATTTTATTATCAAGTAGCACATATTTTATTCCTTATTGTGTAATCGAAAGAGGTTCATTGGACAAGACAACATGGAAATATTTCAATGCAGTATGGAATCCAAAAATGTGCAAGAACTGGAGGGGATCATTTTCGCGTATACCAAAGGTTTAGGTTCCCTAAGCCACTCCCACATGTTATAGGAGCCCCTGGAGAGCGTTTTTTTCTAGATAGTTCTAAAACCTATCTATTTAGCTTCATAACGATCACTTGTTAACTAGCGTCAAAATATTTATCTATTTTCCACAACGCTTTATGCGACTAGCGATGGATAACTTGACAACAATCAGTAATAATAAAATAAAAAATAAAACCAAAAACAAAGCAACATTCTCAATGTAACATCAGAATTTCTTATGTAACAATATGACAAATGTATCTTACACTGTTGATAATTATCCGATAATTATTTGATAATTATCACGAAGCGTAATTATCTTGATAATTTCGAACCCTGACAAGTATTATACTCTGGATCTAGCTCGCTCGCGAGTACTAGCCGTTCAAAGGGTTCCACTCAGTAAAGATGAATTTTCAGATTCCCACAGTACCTACTTCTTATCCGCGAGTGTTTAGTGTGGACCTACCTGCATGTGCTCGGCGTAGAGAAGCCCCTTGAGTATCTGCGAGCGGCGCTTGAGCGTCAGCTGGCCGTCCAGTGCACTCTCCAGGAAATGCTTGAGGCGGCTCAACGGCACCGAGTCAGGCAGCACTGACAGCGCCTGTCAATGGTAAACACATCATTTACTTTCATTTTCCCAGGACGTCAAGGATTAATAAAATATTGTATTCTTTTCAACACATCTGGGATTATTGTTTAGAATCGATAGCTCACCAAACTATACATTTTTATTGCAGAATAGCACCTAATACAACTACATGATGCCATAATGTCCTCCGTACTCTTCACTGGGCCATAAAGACTAGTTTGTCGCAGAAATTGTTGAAGTGTCCAACATGATAGATGTTGAGTCACACCATAAAGAAGTTAGTCATTCGTAAATCACTCGTTTTCTTCTTTACACCACACTATGTAGATAGTGAATGTATGTAATGTGGGAAATAATAGGAGTAGAGAAGCGTAGAATGGGTGATGTAAAGAAGAACACGACTAATTTACGAATGATTCGCTTCTTCGTTGTGTAACTCAACATCTATCATGTTGGAATTTGATAGAATGAAAAGAAATGTCAAGTTTAAAGTTCAAAACTGCCATTCCAGTTTATATTGTAGTCCATAATTCGTAAAACTACCTTCAAGGGCGAGATCTTGTCCGCGTGCTTCTCCAATATCGCCAGGGCCGTCTCCAGGTCGGGCGCGGCGGTGGCGGGGTGGCGCGCCACGTCGGCCAGGGGCCCACTCAGGGCCGCACTCTTGTCCGGGTGCATGAGGATCCGTATGAGGGTCACCTACACGTCCTGTACCCCTAGAATGAACAACTATCGTCTTCGAATCGTTTGCGTATTCGACAAAATTCGATACTCAACCTTCGAATTAAACGATAACGTGACAATTTTGATTGTCAAAATAAGTTTCTCATACTAAGTTCACTTTACGACACGTTCACAAGGGCGCTGTTTTAGTTTTCGTACTAAATCTTTTAATGGCGATTCGAATACGCAAACGATTCGAAGTCGAAAGTTTTTCATACTAGTGGTACCTACTGACTCTATAACACTACCTTCAAGGGCGAGATCTTGTCCGCGTGCTTCTCCAGTATCGCCAGGGCCGTCTCGAGGTCGGGCGCGGCGGTGGCGGGGTGGCGCGCCACGTCGGCCAGGGGCCCGCTCAGGGCCGCACTCTTGTGCGGGTGCATGAGGATCCGCATGAGGGTCCCCTACACGTCCTAACTCTATAACACTACCTTCAAGGGCGAGATCTTGTCCGCATGTTTCTCCAATATCGCCAGGGCCGTCTCCAGGTCGGGCGCGGCGGTGGCGGGGTGGCGCGCCACGTCGGCCAGGGGCCCACTCAGGGCCGCACTCTTGTCCGGGTGCATGAGGATCCGCATGAGGGTCACGTACACGTCTTGGTTCTTATCCTTGATTGTGTCGCACACGTTCTCGCAGTAACGGATCGCTCGGTCTACGTCGCCTGAAATTAAATAAAAAATGACATTATTTTTGAACTGAGGAAGGCTGGATGGATTGATGTTTGTTACTGTTTCATGTATAGAGATAGTTTGAGAGCCAAGAAAAAACATAGGATAGCGTTTAGCCCGGTTATTGAAGGGGGAATCGCGCGCAGTAAGACTATCTGTGAAAAACTGAAATTCACGCGGGCGGATCCGCAGGTAAAAGCAAGTGTATGTAAAACACATTGTTCGTTTTATTGCAACTCACCCAAAATCTGCACATATATCGCCAAAGCCTGCTCATGTCGACCGAGTTTACCCAAAATAACAGCCCGCTCTTCAAAAAGGCTATCCGCGGGAAAATGTAGTATTACCCTCTCTGGTGTATAATGAGGAGACTTTTCTAAGAACGCTACCAACTTCGCTTTCGTATGCTGATACTCTTCCTCGGTTATATCGCCTTTTTTAGTGGTCACTTTGTCCCTGTACATACTGATCAAGGCATCGTGGAACAAAGGATTGTTGTCGTTCCACGTGTGTATCAGATGTTCTAAATAAGGTATCACTAGGTTCTCGTGTTCTCTCAATAAGAAGTCAAGTATTTTGGGGCGAGGGAGGTTCTCCACTTCCACTTTGTCTTCTGTGAATATCTTCAGTCCTTCTTCCGGGTGTTCTTTCAAGATCCAATCGGAAAACTTGAATATTAGATTTATATGTTCCGCACCTGCAAAGGGAAATATGTTTGCTGTGACAAATGTTTAAATAATAATAGGGAGTAGGTAATTAAAATAATGTGTGTCATGGAAATATGTAATTAATGTTGGAAAGTTGGGAATGATAAGCTGATAATATTTTAACAAGTAGTGAGGCATGTTTTTCCCGTTATGTTATGTTAATTACCTAGCATAACATAGATTTCCATAAAATTATCACATTGGGAGCGTTTGGCCGAAAATAGCATAATAGGAAAAATTGCGCGCTTTTAGCGGTAAGTGCTATGACCACAGAATAATAATAAGTACTACATACAGAAGTTTTACTTCGCGAAGGTATTTAAAAAAATGTATGCTCAATGTCATCAACAATATGGTGTAATTTAACTTGTCTCAAGAGTCAAGCACCATTTTGTTGACAAACGTCGGTGATCGGTACTGCGCCGAAGCTATAGGGCTGACTTCGGTAAAATGATGTGACGTGAGGTGCCAAACTGCAGAAAATGGCGGAGGAAATACATGATTTAGCATGAATTATCATGAATAATATTAACTACTTATTTACCTCTCAGTGTCTTCAGGCAACTTAAAAAAGTACATTCCGTGTTTTATTATTATTTAGGCAGTTAAATACTGCACAGTATTTAGTACACCATTTTCTTTATTTTTTCCATCATACACAAGAATACGCGTGCGTGAGTCAATGTTCGCTCGTATGTGAGGCCTTGTCGAATAGTAATCCTGTAGGGGGCCATCGTGCGTGTTTTGTTTTCGATGTAAACTCGCGGAGATGAACAGGCCTGCTATGAATGCTAAAAAAATGTATGGGAAAACGTCACTTTTGAAGTTAGCAAACGTGTCCTCGCCGAAAACATGCTAAAGTTTTCGGCGGTTGCCATGGCGATCGCCATGTTGCTAACGATTTCTAACAAATACTATCTTCGGCCAAACGTTACTGGGGATTAATGGCATATCGACGTTTTTAGAGTGTTATTTGGTCTGTAGTACATACCAAGGTTCTGCAAATAATTCTTAGTTCTCGTGTACCCTTTGAGACTCGAGTCGGGTTGCTTCGCCTGTTCCCTGAGCAGCTGCAAAGCTTTGGTGTGCTGGCCCTTGGTTTGGTACAAGATGATGAGCTCGCTATGTTTGCCATGTTTGAGCAGCGTTCTTTCAGTTTCTTCCAGCTGACAATTGTTGAGACGAAGTAGGGGCGCGATGAGCGCGTCATTCGTCTGAAAAATCGATTTTAGCCGTAACATTTCTGTAGATTTAAGACGTGATGACGTAAACTAAGAAATCTTCATATGTATATTGAGAGGGACATGCGTATTCAAATAGGTTTAATCTATCTTGTCTTATGGCGACATCATAAAGGTAGCAGTAAGGCGCTGGATGCATGGCGCCACCAACCGACCATTATGGAAATCATTGGGGGAGAGTTATGTTCAGTCGACGTCCTATGGCTGAAATGATGATGATGACGACAACCTATGATCATCATAGGTTGTCGTTGTTTCACAAAAAAGAAATAAAAACAATACCTGCAAGTAGCACTTCAACAAAGTGGTATCAATCAGCTCCAGCTGCTGAGTGACATTCCTTCGGCTGGCTTGCTCCTGGCTAGGCCCAGCCTCCGACTTATTCTGCCCGATGGCCGATCGCACGTCCACTAAATACTCTATCAACGCATATAAAGCATTTTCTAGATCCTTCCCTTTGAGTTTCTTGTTCTTTGAGCATTCACTCTCCTTGCCATCGAGTTCTGGGAACAGGTGAATGACCTCTGCAGGATCAGTTTGCAACTTGATGAACTCCTTCATGGACTGCGAGTATAAACAGTTGTCGAACAAGTCGTATGCGTACAACCGTTGGATAGACTGTATCGATTTCTTTTTCTCTTCCTCGGAACATTCCGATAATTTCTGTAAAGAAACAATAATTTTCAAATGCTTTTCTTCTATTGATTCAGCGCTGAATGATCGTTATATTAAAAATCATTAATTACCTGAAGTAACAGAGCCATAGTGCCCTTAACGTTTTTAACAAAAAGAGGCATTTTGGAAGCTTGTCTGTTCAAACGCAAATACTGTTTTATAATAAAAGGAAAATAGGTACTAATATGCATATGATACGTGATATATGGCAGATGTTTGGTAATTATTAATTATTGCCGTTGCCAATTTACGGATTAGTCAGTAGGGTTTTGACAGTATAGCATAAATAAATTATTGCGTAAGTGTTGCGGTAGGAGAACAAGTATACTTAGGTATTGCTATAATTTGATACAGATTCCAATCTACATAATATATTGGACATTATAATTGCACTAAGCCCATAATACTTATTCTAACTTACGTTTAGTAGCACAATCATCTTAGCTTGCCTTCCTTTAACCCGCCCCTGGTACATTTTAAATCGAGGGGAATGATTGTCTATTTTTCACTAACACTGACACAACTAACAAAAAATAATAAACACGCGAACTAACCACTGGCGCACTGGCGATAATAAATAAGTACCAAACATACTGTGCCATATACAGTGTGTCTTGGTAAAGTGTACATATCAAAATAGGTGAAACTAGACCTATTTTTATCGAAGGAAAACATGTCAAAAAAATATCTGAGATATTATTTTTTTATAGATTTTTTTTGTCTTTCAATTACTTATTGTATTGTAAAGAAAACGTCATTACTTTTTTTACTCAAAAAGTATTTTTTTTAATTATTTGTTGCCATTTTTTGGGTATTTTATTAGTATTGCCTGTTGTTTAGCATACTGTTTTTATTTTATCAGGATATACTTTTTAGTTTAAAAGTTATGACGTTTTCTTTACAATAAGTAACTGAAAGAAAAAAATTCTATAAAGTTTAAAAAAAATCTCAGATAATTTTTGACATGTTTTCCTTTGATAAAAATAGGTCTAGTTTCACCTATTTTCATATGTGCACTTTATCAAGTCTCACACTGTATAATGCGATTATTTCAAATCAACGCAATAAAAACACATTTTATTTGCTAATCAAACGCTGTAACAGAATAACAAAATGAACGCTGCAGGATAATTATGCAAAAAATAAGTTCTTAGCTTAGATTTGGATTTAAAAACTCTTCTCTTGAATTTTAACTAAGATCGATAATTAGTAGGAAAACTTCTAAAATTTTTTAAATTAAAATGTAGGACATCCTGTACAAACACCTTATCCTTTTAATGACCAATTTAGACAAATATATATTTGAAACTACACAGGAATACATTGGCAAATGTGGAAACGCATACGGGATATAATTAAAAAGTTTAAAAGGCTTTTTTAAAGATTTTTGAGAAATGGCAAAAAGAAATAGCACTTGATATTAAGTTTAAATATAAACAGCACGCACGCAGGGTTTATATCTTTTAGAACCACAACACTGACTCTACTCACTTACTCTCTTAACTTTTATACACAAATAAGTTTTACTTGAATTGTTGAAATTACAACAACTATTTATACCACAACCTTGTGTACTTAGTTGTTGACTTTACAATATTAAATGGTCTATTGAGGAAAATTATATAACTGGTGTCTATACAGGGTGTTAGGTAAATGGGTATATGAGCCGACACTAGACCATGTTAACATGGTCATATAAATGGTATGGTGAAGTCAGAAATTTGATATCATCATTTTGATTTTTTTTATTTTCATACAAAATAAATTTTATAAAATCCAATTTGTATGAAAATTAAAATGAAGATATCAATNATGGGTATATGAGCCGACACTAGACCATGTTAACATGGTCATATAAATGGTATGGTGAAGTCAGAAATTTGATATCATCATTTTGATTTTTTTTATTTTCATACAAAATAAATTTTATAAAATCCAATTTGTATGAAAATTAAAATGAAGATATCAATTTTCTGACTTCAGCATACCATTTATATGACCATGTTAACATGGGCTAGTGTCGGCTCATATAACCATTTTCTAACACCCTGTATATCTATGTCGCAGTTTCCATATTAATTGGTTAAGCCTTTCCGCATTCAATTACCTACTATTAAGTGTTATCATTGTATATGTTACAGTCAAAACTCATAATCGGTCAAAACCACTTTTGACTGCAAAAAATATGTCAAAAGTGGTTTCGCCTGATTTAAAATTTTACTCATCAGTCCAAATTCATTAAAGGTGTTATGATAAGTGAAAATTACAAAATCATCATAAATGTGTTAAAAACCTTTTTAAAGTACACTCCAAAGTGATTTTGACTAACGCTCTTGGTCAAAACCACTTTTGACCAGTCAAAAGTGGTTTTGAATAATAATCAGGTTTCCAGAATAATCAGGTTTTGACCGATTATGAGTTTTGACTGTAACATAATTATGTTCCAAATCATATACGTTTTTAAAGTTAAAAACTACATGCTGGTGGATGGGTTTTTGGTTGTCTCACACAAAACACACACACATCACAGCAAATTTAAGAAACAGAAATACCAGTAAGACCATCGAAGCTGGAACCTGGGTTATAATGGGCCTAAAGCGCCTACATTATGGTTTACCTACATCCTACAATTCATGGGGCGGGTCAATAGGGATAAGTGGAATTATTTTCCTACCGTCATAACATATTGATTCACGTTACAAAAATGTAACTCTAAATCGTGGCTACACATAGGCGTTATTTCAATTATGGCCGTATGAGGGCTATGGTTTTTATACTTAACAGTTGACACCACTGTCAAGTAACAGGACCTTACTCGGTGGCGCCATCCAGGTGAGTGCAAATACGATAGTACTCTTTCTAATTGTCATTTTATCATAGCCACAGCACTCACCAGTTGGCTCAGCAATTGCTGAGCGCTAAAACGATAGCCTTCATTGCCTTATTCCGGTACTGTGGTCTCAAAATAAAATGTGTTATTCTTACCGTCAAGTCGATTGCTATCTGAAACTGCTTGTCCTTCAGTAGCTGCTCGCGCTGTTTGTTCACATCCACGGCGGTGAGGCACCACACCTGCCCCACAGACGACACGAATATCAAGCCGCGCTTACATCTGCAATAAATAGTCATCATCATCATCATCTGAAACACAAATATACCAAAGGCAAGTGAAAGATTCGGCTTACAATCCCCATGCTTTCCAGATTAATTGGAGAGGCCTATCCTACTAATCTATACTAACATTATAAATGCGAAAGTAACTCTGTCTGTCTGTCCTGCTTTCACGCCTAAACCACTGAACCGATTTTGATGGAATTTGGCATAGAGATAGTTTGAGTTCCGGGAAAGGATAGTTTTATACCAGTTTTTGAAACAGGGACGCGCGCGATAAAGTTTTTCTGTGACAGACAAAATTCCACGCGGGCGGAAAGCTAGTACTATTATAAATGCGAAAGTATGGATGTTTGTTGAAACTTTACAGTATTATTATTTGTAACCCAGATTACCATATTGGCCATAATTTATGCCGATCTGTGACACTAAATTTCACGCGGGTGAAGCCGCGGGCAAAAGCTAGTGTTTGCATACTTGTCCCTTAATAATTAGTCTATAAACTAACCAGTGTTTTAGACACAAACATAACTTTCAGCATATTAATATGACACATACCTGTACATCAGTCTTGCTTTCTTGAGTTCAGGTAAGGTTTGTATAAATAGTGGTGGTTCAACAGTTTGCACCTTGATTTCATCTTGCACTAATCCTAAAATGAATGGCTCATCCCAAACTGAAATGTGAATAAAATGTTATTTATTAGCTTCTTTAGCCTCAGGATTTAATATTTTCAAGATCTCGAAAAAATAACATAAAAGAAAATCATGCATGGATTTCTAGTTTCACATCTTTTGTTTTTGATCTTGCAAGACAGGAGGAAAAATAAACTATTTTACGACTGACAGTGATTTCACTGGTTTAATAATAGTAGGGAATTTAGTGCAACGATTTGTATGGAGACCCCTCCACTTTGGTATAGAAGGCTCATTTTTGCAACAGTGGTTCTTTGGGTGCTCCTGAGTGGATTTCCGTCGGTAGACATCGGGAGCCCCCCCTGTGGTAGCAGGGGGAGGGGGGGCAAGTTTTCTTCCGCCGCGCTTCACTTTAAGGCCCATATCTTCCAAACTATGGGTATTAGGGCAAGTGTGGTATCATTTTCGGATAATTAAAGGATGGCGAATTCTTTTTTAGAACAAGCTTTTTGCCTTTTCATACAAAAAAATAGAAATATTGAGTAAAATTCACAAAAACCAAAAAGTATTTTTTTAAATAAACGTCGTTTACTTTTAAACCACTGTAGATAATCTAATAAAAAAAATATGACCTGAAAGCTACATTTATCAGGATTATAAAAATATAACATTGTATGGTACTTTTTTCGCAAAAAGTAGGTGAAAAAAATTTTTTCTTCAGGACACAGCGGGCGAATTTTATTGCGCATCGGAAAAAAATATTTATTTTATCCATGAATTCATACTATTTGGTTCATAAGCAAGCAAGAATTATTATTTTAGAATTTATTTAGAGTTGCTGGCACATCAATCTACTATGATTTGTATTTTTTCGTCAATTGATTTTGAACTCTATGTGTGAGACATAAGGTTGAAAATAATTTAAATACATTTTAGTATTGAAAATATCATAAGAAGAAAGCACTAAATAAAGAACTTTAATTTGTTTAAACGTCTTAATGATTATTATTATTTTAATTAACACTTTTATTTGTACATACTATTGTACCAGTGATTTAACGGAAAGGTAAGTGTGAGGAAAATGAGGTTTCACAATCATAGTACGGGAGATATTTTTAGCACAAAGGTTACGGTTACCTTTTTAGTTGTTTTTTTTCAGACAGCNCTTTTGAAATTCAGAATAAAAGCTAGTTTTTAAAAAAGTTTATTTTTATTATATTTTTTTCTAGTCGCCTCGGTCATCAGATCTCACACCATGCGACTTTATCTTGTGGGGATATCTCAAGTCAAAAGTTTACAGCAAAACAATCCTTAAATAATTCAGGTTCTGTAAGAAAATATCCGCCGTGAAGTTGCAGGAAAATTATTAGCGCGATTTGCTCTCGCATAGTTGCGAATGCAAGAGTCCGGCTGTGAGAGTGCCTATAGTAAAACGGGCATCATTTAAAAGACATTGCCTTTAAAAAAATAAATCCGCATTGTTAAACTCCAGTTTGCATTAGTAATAAATAGTAAAAAATCATCAATTTATTTGTATGAATCATTTTTGAAGATGAAAAATTCCCACTGGACACCCTTTATTTCTTCTTCACTTCCCAATATGTATTTCAATACATATACATACACCGCAAATAATATTCTACTAAGAATTCATAATTCAATTTTTTGTGTTTTAATGCCGGTTTTCTATAATCAATCCTTATCAAAAACAACTGTCAAACATCATTATGTTTTTGGTTCAAAGTTTTTACATAATTTCAGATTTGAGAGTTGAAGGTCATTTTCGTTTTCGTTTTCGTTTTCGGCCGAAAATGAGACTGCAGCCGAAGCTTCGTTTTCGTTTCCGTTTTCGGCTGAAAATCCATATTCGGTCGGACACTAATTAAGCCTAAACGGCCGACAATTTTATGATTTTTAATTTAACTAGGTAATCGTAGTTCCAATATTTAATTATTTATTTGTTTAACTTCTGATTTGGTTAGTGAATTGGCTATTTCGAAGAATTTACTAGGAGATTTCAATACTACAGTCCACACTAAAAAGAGAGGTCGGCACATAAAGAGCGAGATAGAGGTAAGTAGGTATTTGACTCAAGTTGTTGTTCCAAGTTTGGCCTCCATTTTTATCTTTAGCTTCATGAAAACCATAGACCTTAATTTTGTTTTTTATAGGCAGACATATAATTCCATATAGCCAAATTACAAGCCAAGCCAAAATTGAGAAACGGGTTGCAAGTCTTCAGATAACACAAAATAGAGATAATTTTTGGTAGACAAACAAGAAATTAAAATGCTATCATGATATATAGGTACATACCTAATACAAAACATTTCAGCCACACCACAGGACGTCCAGCGCCTTCCTGTCCTTTTTTCTATGTAGGTACTTGGGATTTTTTTGTATTTGTACCTACAGGAATATTTATTGCATAACTGCATCCAGATCCAGAACCTCAAAGATATTTCCTTAACATTAGAGGGTTTAAGGAAAGGGTTTTCGATCACTAGACCAAATAGCTGCGAGCGTCAAGACAAATGGGTCGAGAAAAAAAGCAGGGTACTCATCTAGCCGTGTAGCATGTAATGTATCAGATACTGTATCAAGTGAGTACATAGGCACGAGCCCGCTGCAAGCAGCTGCTCGCGCGTGGTTCGCAGTGAGATCGTAGCGACCCGCCGAGTGACGGTATCACTGCGAGCACAAAGGCGGCTCGCAGTAGGATTCAGGAGCTCGCAGCCAGATACGCGATGACGCGTCTTTCCATTCTATACATAGCCAGAANAAATATTTTATTATATAAATAGTTAAATTATATTGTAACTGTATGTTTCCCAAAAATAAATAAATAAATAAATAATTTTTTTTCCGATGCGCAATAAAATTCGCCCGCTGTGTCCTGAAGAAAAGATTTTTATCACCTACTTTTTGCGAAAAAAGTACCATACAATGTTATATTTTTATAATCCTGATAAATGTAGCTTTCAGGTCATATTTTTTTTATTTGATTATCTTCAGTGGTTTAAAAGTAAACGACGTTTATTTAAAAAAATACTTTTTGGTTTTTGTGAATTTTACTCAATATTTCTATTTTTTTGTATGAAAAGGCAAAAAGTTTGTTCTAGAAATGAATTCGCCATCTTTTAATTATCCGAAAATGATACCACACTTGCCCTAATACCCATAGTTTTGAAGATATGGGCCTTAAAGTGAAGCGCGGCGGAAGAAAACTTGCCCCCCCTCCCCCTGCTACCACAGGGGGGGCTCCCGATGTCTACCGACGGAAATTCACTCAGGAGCATCCAAAGAACCACTGTTGCAAAAATGAGCCTTCTATACCAAAGTGGAGGGGTTCTTGCACTAAATTCCCTACTATAAAAGATAAAAATCTTACCAACAGCAATAGGTGCCTCAGGCCACTTAATGGTTTTCTTAATTTCTATCTCCTCAGCTTCCTCAACCAGAACAGATGCCTGATCTCGGCCCAGGAGGAATGAGGTATCGGAATATTTGGCTATTGTGGGCTCCAGAGATCTGGAACTGCTTGTTGGGAATAACTCTTTGGGTTTTCCTGATGAGAGCTGTAAAATTAAAAAGGTAAGTTAGTTTTCATTTATAATATTTTCATTTATTTGCAATGAAATGAATAAAACATCATAAAAATAGGTTTGTAGAAACTATTAAAATCTTGAATAGTTAAAACACATAAAATAATGTTTTATCATTGCAAATTAATATGTAGTCATTTTTGAAGATTTTTGTTTGACTTAAGGCTAATTTATGCTGTCTAATAATATCAATAAAAGGGTAATATCAATTTGAACATAGTTATGATTTGTAAATAGTAAATAAACAATTTGTTTTGGTCAGATGATAATTTACTTACATCATACAAAGTATATTCAGCTTTGAACCCCACACACAAATACTGCTGACCCCATGCCATGACTTTAGGAACATCAGGTATTGTGAACTCAAACAAATGTTGTTTGAATTCACCGTTTTTACCATAATACAACTGAAGCTTTCTTCTCACTGCCACACAAAGATGTACTATGGAATTGGACTCCCCAGTCATTGATATTGTGGACTGAAAATAAACATAAAAATTTTATTAATCCAACCAGTGAATGAAAACAATTCAAGCCATCTTATTGGAACTATACAAAAGACAAAACTGGGCATTGGTGTCTATGGGCTAAGTGAAAATTTATGTTTGTTATAGATGGACCACACTCATTAAAAACATGGACAAGATAGACATCTATATTTTTTTACATACCTTATTATCTAAAGCAAACAATGAAGCACCTTTGGTTTGTGGAAAAGTTTTAACCAGTGGAAAATTAACACCATTAATGTCATATGTTGCCAGAATGTTGTCTGTTAAACACAAGAGTAGATTGTCCTCTGCAAAATTAAAACAATTACACAGCTTTATTACTAGACAATAGTTCAAAAGTGGCATAGGTATATTAAAAAGTAACTTCAAAATTAATTTATATTTTCAGTACCTACCTGGTATCACATCTATTTGTTGTATAGGTTTCTTGCTAAAATTCTTGCAGTATCTAAGCAATTGTATGTCATACTTTTGATTGCCATTGTTCGAAGACAATGAGTACATCAATAAATGACCTTGCCGGGTACCCAACAACAAATTTCCATCTGTAAAATAATTGCAGGAATATAATTAAATAAATAGTACATGAAACATAAAGTTCTACCAATTCAGTAAAATTACATCTTATATTAGCATAATTCAATACAAACAAAATTATATCTTATTTTAAAAATTAAAACATGGGGTAGTGTGTGGAGGGGTGTTATTTGCAGGCCAGATATAAAACTTATTAAGAAATATCATAATAGTGGACCTAAGATTCATAGGGACACCCACTATCCACCAAAGTAGACTTACCGTAAGCAGCAATTGCTTCGATTTGTACGGTGACATTCAGTATATGAGAGGCTTCGTATGCTTCGTGCATGATTGCAGTTGATAAAATTCGAAGCAATCGTGCGTAATTATAAGAAAATGCCAATAAATGTTTACATTACACAGTAGTCAGTACCAATAACTTTACTACTTATTTCACAGAAGTATGAAGTTGGAATTATTACGCCTTCTACTAGACAGTGATAAACGCAACTTCACAAATATCATTCTATGAGATTTTTTAATTGTATTTATTTATTTGCTTGAATGAAAGTTATAGGTTGCGCTTAATCTAAGGGGTTGCGTGACAAATCGATGTATTTTGACACAAACTCTTTAATCTGTGATTTTGACACTTGACATTACATACCGGATGTCAGCTGATGTAAAGCTTTATTTCTTATAGTTCCAAAATACTGGACTGTCCTGTCGATGACATTGACAGTGGGGCGCCACCGTCAATACCGGATCGCTGGTTCAGATTTTTGCCATGTTGGAAACCATATAGTTGAACGATGGTAGCGCCCCCCTGTCATTGAGTTTCGTGCAGAGAGCAGAAGTGCTCTCTGGTTTCGTGGGACAGTTCAGCCTGGGTCATCTATACTATGTTGTGTCGTGTCATGTCTACGGAGAGTTTTGTGCGGTAAGTGAAATAACGTTTAGCTTGAGCGTGCTTAATCCCTATTTACATCAATTTATAGTCTTGCGCGCGGTTTCTGAATTGAGATTTTTAGCTTTTCAAGCTTATTGAAAATTGACAGAATAAAAGAAAAATAATTTATTTAAGAAATTGGCAGAATGGATGTGACCCATTCCGTAATAAAAAAAATACCTTTGACAGATGACGTCATTTTGAGACAGCAAAACCACATCATGAAGCTATAAATGACCCACGCTGAACACGTGTATGTCTCCAACTTCCTCATTGGCCCTAGAGCAATTCCAAGTATACCATCAATAAAAGCCTAATTAGAGTCATCAAACCTCTCAGTCATTCAATTAGAGCCATTAGAACTTCATAACTATGAGTTGTTTTCTATGTGTAAGCTGAGGACACGTGTCTCCAGCTGACACATCTGTATCTTCGTAAATATTTATGCTACGATAATGTATTATACCTCAAAAATTACAGTCGAATCCAAATAGTAGGCTTTCCACTTTTCAAGACTTTAGCTCAAATACTGTTAAAACCACGATCAAAAAACTATGTGCGAGCTGGAGTACCGTGTCTCCAGCTTACACATCTGTATCTTCGTAAATATTTAAGCTACATCAATGTTTTATATCTCATAAATTAAAGTCGAATAAAAAAACCCGACTTCAATTCTTTCAAAGCTTTATTTCGAACCGTTTTCGAACTACGAACCGATACGTATGTGTAAGCTGGTGACACGTAACACACGGTGGATTATTAAAACCGTATAAGTTAGAGTTGCGTTTTAAAGATCAAATAATTCGTTATAATTGAAGTACACACGAGACATAATTTCAAATCTCTAGGCCTCTTAGTTTCAGAATTAAAAGCCAAAAACTATTTTCCCGCCAAATAATTCAAATAATATGGGTCGACTGCGACGTTGCCGTTCCGTGCGTCCACTAGAGCAGTCGAATTTGAACCTAAANTTCCTATGGGTGCGTTCTGGCCATGTATAGAACGGAAAGACGCCGCGATGACCGTGTGGACGAGCCATACTCACTTGTTACATGGCAGGTGAGTACCCTGCCTAAGTGAATATAAAAAATTATCGTCATTTGTCTACTTTGCGATGCATAAATTATGTAAGCTCGATTCACCGTCGTAACGCCCTTCAAGATAGAGCTCTAACTATAAATAAAAAAAACACGATTACTATTCATTTAATATTTACTTTTATAATGTTATTTTCATTCATAACTAACAACGATATGGGTGTTACGATGTATTCAAATTCAGTAAAACAAATATTAAAACAAATACAAATTTCACTCACTATTAAATTTAATATTACAGTTACAGTAATAAGAAAACTTTTACTTTTAAATAATTTGTATGTCATAACCCCATTTCGAACTATGTATTATTTTTATATGGGAAATTCTCATGTAGTAAACGTGCACGTAAATCGTGAAAGTGAGAATTCAGTGGGATAGAGACGTTCAATAACATCGCTTCAAACATTCAGGTCACTAGTATGTCTTATATTTTTTTTACACAGAGGGTCTTAAGAAGCAACGTCGATTACAAAATTCATATTAGATAGACTTAATAAAAATATGCATATCTAAACTACCGTGTCCCTTAACGAGTCCGCAGCGGGCCGCGCCGCCTGGCGCGTCACGACTCACACCGTACAGATAATCATAATATTTACACGAATTATAAAAGGTGTCGGCAAATCAATAGCCTTACGACCACATCTAAGCTCCACTATGTGATTTGAAAACGGTGCGCCGAGCGCCTCTCTTAAGATACAATAATTTATACGTAATTAATAGTACATAGGTACATAAAGTAATACATAATTAGTTATGTGTTTAAAATTTCGAAGGTCCCAGCATAAATTACGTACGGGAATTGAACCCGCTAAACATGCTAGTATCAAAAGAAATATTAAAAATACGAAAAAACGATCATTTAGCATAATAGCGTTATGAATACAAAAAAGGCAGGTTATTGCTGCTAGTCAATCTAGCTAAGTCATTATGAAGCCAGACATGGTAACCATGACTTGGTCCAAATGAGAAATAGCCTCTCGGGGCGTCCAAATGTACACTTTGCTTATAATTCCACTTCATTGTCAATGAACTGTAAATTCATCAAGTCATGACGCGAGAACGAGAAAAAGCGCTTTCAATCAATAGCTAATCTCTAAGTGGAATTAGAAGCACAGCAAGACTCCCTGCTCAGTGAACATTCACAGCTGCCTTTATTTAACTCCGTACTAAGGTGGTGCAAAGGTATTGGACATTACACCGAGAAATTTATGCATACAGGCTACTTCTACACCATGAATACAAGATTCGTTAGTCTATACTTAAAGGTTTGCCTAATTTGTAACGGTATGCCGAATAGAAGTGCAAAATGAAATTACTCGAATTACTTAAAACTATGACAATGAAATTTATAGCATTATTTTAACATTCTCTCCATAGATGACTACTAATAACCATAGTGTTCTCAATGACAAATTTTATATTATAGAAATATCATTTATTGAATATAGAATACAATATTATCGAAAAACTATGTCGTTACATTAGGACACAGACAGTGCTATTAAATACATTACATTTATCCAGCACTGGATAAAATAAGGTACACCGCAATCAAAATGTTTATAACATACAAGTTGCCGAAAAAAAATACATATCTATACTGTAGTAATCTAAAATTTATATCCTCTGAATTGTTTATACATAGTATTCTGAGATATCGTTAATATTATAAATTATCTTGAGAGATCAGTTTATACTAGTTATAAAAATTTACAAGTATGCTCTCTATGAATGCAAAAAATGTTCCATGCTAAGTTTTATCGTTGAAATTACACTAGGCATACGTTTCTGAGTTAGTGATACGTTCCAACAATAAATACGCTAATGCACTACTGAATATGTCTTTCCTACTGATTACATGGCCCAAGCAAGGTAACGCTCCTCACTAAGTATCATGCGGCTATCTCTCAATAGGTGATTCTAGTGATACAAATATGTGACTGTCTCTCGCGCTGACTTCGCAGGAGCGGGTCGGTCTACGGATAAAGCGGAACATCTCGTCGTCGCAGACCTCGGATTACACTTGAAAACGAAACAAAACAATTTTATCGGACGATAATCTGTCGTATATCGAACGAGCGTCACTTCAAACTCAACAATTTTAAGGTATGTACATAAAGAGACGAATTTGAGCTTACAAAAGTACAAAGTGATCACATCGCGACGGTTCAGAGACTACGGCGGATTTACCGTTCGCCGACTACGACGGCTGAAGCATCGACGATTACACTACATTATCACACGATTACTCGCCGAAAACACCTATTATGCATTTAATTTTACCCGATGGCCAACACGAAAAAGGACTATCACTAAATAGCATACGACGGACTCGCGCGGAGTCGGCAGCGGCGCGGCGCCTACGACGCGCCCGGCGAGCCGCTCGGCCCGCTCGCGCCCGCGCTCTCGCCTGCAACAACCGGTTCGTCATTAGCGCGTGCTCGGACTCAAGTGTGACACAATAAACATGGCTGCGTGGCTAATAGTGATGGTCAACTCGAGTAAGTAACTCGAGTTAACTCGAGTTGGGCGTAACTCGAACCCACTCGAGTTGAATTCTCTCTGACTCGAGTTCGTATCGTAAACCGAATGGATCCGACATGGATAATTTGAGTGTTGAGATTATGTTCATTTGAAGTTAACTTTAAACTGCCGGTTATTGTTGTAGATTTTCGTGTTTTATGTTCTGTTTTTGAAAAATGACAAGTAATAATAAACACAAATATTTTTTAAATTAAAATTCAAGCCAAAAATCCATGAATAAATTTTATTATTATATTTCAAACAATATTTTTTTCTTTCTTACTTTAGTTAACTAGTACGATTCTCCCAATACATAAATGATATGTCTTTAAACGTTAATACGAATATGAGGGAATAAACTGGTAAAAATAAGTAAAAAACTGACTTGTCCATCCAGTTAACTCGAGTTACGTGGTTTTTAACTCGGGTTAAATCGAGTTTGTTTTTCCCGAGTTGGCCCATCACTAGTGGCTAAAATGCTAAGTACCTGTGGGCGTGTGCGCGTGGTCGGGCTGCGCGGCGGCGGCGGAGGCCCCGGGCGTGTCGGCGGCGGGCGCGGCGGTGGCGCGCGGCTTTAGGAAGTCGTTCAACGAGGGCTGGATGCTGCGGGGAGAGAGCAACGGTTAATACGATAAATAATTAAACCGTTTGAACCGATCATTATCGATCAACAACATTCAAGGTTTGAATACTTAAAAAATGACGTGGATTCGCTTTCGGCTGCGAAACATTGTTAAATAGTTGCACAATCCACGCCTATACACTGCTTTTAGCAGACATCAAGTTCCAATTCATTTACTTGCAGACTACTGCACAAGACACAATTCACGCCTATACACTGCTTTTAGCAGACAGCAAGTTCCAATTCATTTACTTGCAGACTACTGCACAAGATGGCTAAGTCCTGATGGGCGAAGCCCATTTGATCTCTTACTCTATCGGAGCGGGACACGCATTAAGCGCCGTTGTCACAGCGGAACGGGGCGTGGATCACGTTAGCTCGTACTCTATTGGAGTATGATAAGACGGGACTCACCTGAGTTCGTACTTGGTTGTAGCAGATTTACAGCGTGAGACCTAGTGTGGCACAGTGAGACATGGCAGGGTTCAGCGGAGCTCGTAATTGGTATTAGCAGATCTCACAGCATAAGACCTAGTGCGTTATAGAGTGACAGGCGGAGCTCATCTGAACTTGTACTTTATCGGAGCGGGACAGTAGGGCGGGGCTCACCTCAGCTCGCACTCTATCGGAGCGGGAACAGGGCGGGGCTCATCTAAGCTCGTATTTGGTCGGAGCTAATTTAAAGACCTAGGGCAGTGTTTTTCAACCTTTTTCATGACGCGACCCCCCTAGTATGAAAAAAATTTTTGCGACCCCCCACCGTTCGCTTTTTTTTCATACCTTTTACAAAGATGTTGTCGGGACCGAATTCTTCAATCTATATAACATTTATGCATTTGCTTAATCAGATTTCGGATAAATCTAGCTTTAAAACTTTACTGATGTTTTTAGTGAGGTAGTTTTTACGACCTCTCGCGACCCCCCAGGTTGAAAAACACTGACCTAGGGCATCACAGCGGGACTCACCTGAGCTCGTACTCGGTGAAGTTGAACAGCGGCGGCAGCGGGCGGCCGTTGGGCAGGCGCGCGGCGGGCTCGTCGAAGAAGCTGTGCGCGCACGCCTGCAGCGGCGACAGGCCAAGCGAAAGTCGAGCCACAGAATCATATTACGAAGCGCACGCATCAGGATGTTCGTTAGCAACCGATGATGATAGTACTCACTCATGAGCTGACACTAATTGCACCCCCCTCCCCCCGTCACATGTCCGGCTTTTAGGGTAAAATGTCCGGCCAAATGAAGCACAAAGTCCGGCTTTTGTGATTTTGGACCTGGCAACCCTAATCACAGCGGGCTCACCTGAGCTCGTACTCGGTGAAGTTGAACAGCGGCGGCAGCGGGCGGCCGTTGGGCAGGCGCGCGGCGGGCTCGCGCAGCTCGTCGAAGAAGCTGTGCGCGCACGCCTGCAGCGGCGACAGGCGCGCGCCCGGCGTGTACTCCAGCAGCCGCGACACCAGCGAGATCGCGTCGGGCGGCGTGCACGCGCGGAACACCTGCCGAACGGGACAGTTACAAGACTGCGCACATCACTATTTATAATGTCAAACTAAAATTTTCCAGCCGCGACACCAGCGAGATCGCGTCGGGCGGCGTGCACGCGCAGAACACCTGCCGAACGGAACGGGACGGTTACATGACTGCGCACATCACTATTTATTATGTCAAACTAATTTTTTTTTATTTGTACCGTCAGCGTCAAATAATTCGTGACAGCCAAAGTGGCCAAGTTGATAACACCACCTTAGGCGGTTATCACACTGCGCCGCGCTCCGCCGCAGAGCGCGGGGCGACAGATTTAATCATTGTATGCAAGTACTATCGGGGACTCGAACGCCTTGACACCTTAAGGGCCTAAATTGTTTGCACACACACGCTCGATTATGCTACGCCCCCTTCATTCATGTTTCGCGTCTAAGCAGCGTCGGCGCACCACTGTAGATGTTTACCCTTGCAAACCAAGCTCTATGTAAAGCGTTTAGGATTGAGTATTGCTTATTACCCGCATCCGTAGCGCTCGTTTGGCAACGTCGCATTTTAGTCAATTTGAAACCCAATAAAGAATCGCTACAAAATATTATAAGGGGCTTCGTGTAAAATTTGAACTAGCGATTGCCCGCTCGGGTCACAAAATTGGTATCGCACATTCCGAGGTAACTGTGCAATTTCCTGAGAAAAAAGTAGCCCTTTCTATAATTATTGTTGATATTAAGATTAAGAGTGTAAATCTCGTGATATTAGTTTAGCTAGTTAAGGCGAGAAATACAAAATCATATAGTTAGTTACTTACTTTCGAATTTTACTTATTTAATAGGTATTTAATTTATTCGGAACTTATAATTTATAAACAATATTATGTTATTGAATTAATTAGTAAAGAGTTAAGGAATATTTGTGGCTTAAAAAGAATTATTGTAAGATAACTTCATAATAACTTTCTTAAATCCTTGAATGTAAATAAAAAAACCTATAATAGGTTTCTATTTATTTTTAATACATTAGCAACTTTTGTTTTCCGTTTTAAAGAAACACTTATCTAACTACGTTATTACAATTTAATACAAATATTGCACTAGGTAGCAATGATCCAGGTAATTGGTTATCGTAAATATTATAATATTAAGTTAGTTTTATTTCAAATTCAATTTTTTATTGCACATTAAGTGTCTTTACACAAGGTCTTAAATCAATAACAATTAAACTTCAAACTAAATAATACTTAAACAGTTAACAATGTATAGATAAGTTTGTAAGTAAATATAAGAATTATTTTGAGAGGCATGGTTCAGTAATCGCGCGGAGGTCAATAAAAAGGCAATCAAACAGTCCAATTAATAGCACGGGTCAACACAAAACAAAATCAATCGGTTACTGATCACAAAACTTCACAAAAAAACAAAGGCGAGAATATGTCGTCAGTTCGCCAAAGGAAAAAGCAGACAGACCTCGTATAAAAACACAATATTAAAAAAATACATTATCTATTTGTTTGTAACCAAATTCTATTATTAAAATTCTAAGGCTGAGTTGCACCATCTTACTTTAACTTTGACAAACGTCAAAAATCTGTCAAACTCCATACAAAAAGCACCGGTTACCGTTATAGTTACGGTCAAAGTTAGGTGGTGCAACTCAGCCTAAAACTAAGAAAGATTGAAGAAAAAGAAACATTTCGTTTTAAACCGTAACCGTATGACAAGAAAGTACACAATGGTATTTCGTAGTGCAACCTAAGCCCTGATTGTCTCTTATTGGTCGTAGTAAAAATATAGTAAAATGCGTAACCAATTAGAGACGGGGTGAGCACGTGACCGGAGCGATGCGCTTACGCTAAAATTTCTACAAAGTGGTCAGGCGGAAGAGTCCCCGATAGTACCTCAGTTTGTATAGAAAACACGCGCGGCACTTCACACTGACAACGCGTCCGCGCGCGTGATTTTTTATATGAAAATCACGCGGCGGAGCGCGGCGCAGTGTGATAACCGCCTTATTCCAATTTGTAACAAAGACGTGCTGCGAACTTATTGGCAACTGGGTGTCTGTTTGACGCTGACTGTATAGGCTAATTAAATTAGTTCTTACAAATTGTCAAATGCGCTTATGGAGCCTTTACATGTCTCATTGTTTTTTTGCCCTATCATTAACTTTCTATCGACCTCGCGAGCTCTGTGTTATTTAGTGACTTGTGAGGGGACGAAAGAATACATTCCCATAGATATTCGTGTAAACTCCACTTTTGAGTTTACTGTTAAGTCACTAAAATACATACATATAGGGATAGGAGAGAAGTATGTATTGGAGTTCTGAGTATGGAGGGGTTGAGTCGTCAAAGGTACGAACCTCGATAGCAATTATTGACACTGATTGGCCAAAGAAATTGTCAAAACACAGCAGTATTATAAACAGTTGGTAATCAACTAACTCAACAAATGCATAATCTATAAAAATTAAGGTGTAAAAAATAAGGTCCGATATTGAAAGTGGCAACAATGTTTTCTATACCATCGTAAAGAAACACACTACTGAAACTAACATGGGCGTGACTTGTCATTGAAGCCCAACTTATCACGCGTTTCTTTGGTTTAGTTTCGTATTTTTTATTTAATTTCATATAAATGTAATTATGGTCATAATAACGAAGTAAGATTATTCAGAATAAGCAAATCTTTCCAATCACACTCGAAACAGTGTTAGCCGAAACAAAGACATCATTTCATGAGCAACAAGGACAAAAGGACGATATTTACACAGTTAATAGTTAGGTGACATGAAATCGATGACATGATTTAGCACGCTTGGTGTACGAGTATAAAGGAGGCACTACGCCAAATGTCTATGTAGGCCGCTATAGCCACCCTTTACTATATCACAGACGATTGAAACCACAATATCTGAAAAACAAATGCACACCAAACACCAACAAACAATTTGCAATAAAACAGCGTAACTGATTAGTTGTAACTTTCTAGTAACTCATGCCAAAGGCTGTAAACGGCTAAATACCTCCATTACGTGAATTCTAAGTTGTTTAGTCACAAAAATGTTTTGTATCGCAATCTTATCGTTAGGTAAGAGTTCAGTAATTGTGATCACGTAAAACAACCACTCGATAGATAGTTGAGCTTCGACAAATACCAGAAACATTATCGGCGTTGTCTCAATAAGATAAATAGACCCAACTCTTATCTTATGTTACTTTTGATATGTTCGGCAAGAAACAAATGACAATAAAAATGGAAACGGAAACTTTTTGTGATGTGAAAGTCAGGCAGTGAACTAGTGTTCAAAATAACCGAAAGTATTTTAGCAATTATTATCTGGAAAATTATCTTTCGCATATTTGTAGGCATTGCAAAGCACTTGAACTGCAGTTTATCATGATAAACTAACTAGTAAAATGGCGGTATGATACAAAACAGTAACACTATGTACCTATTATCATCATTATAAACTAATTAGTACATCTTTACTTATACAACCCAAAACCCAAGAAATACATTGAATTACAAATTATATGAAACATTTTCGGCTGAATCTTTAGTGGAAACTCGTACATATTATTTATGCATCATGGTCACAATTCCTGAAAACTATTCCATTTAAGATTTTGGAGGCATTTAGATTAAGTTTCGTATACCAATATCTTACTCGGATGCGCTGGTGTTTAGTGCCACACTTGGGCATGGACATTCGCTCCAACATGTACTGGAATGATGTGCGGGCTTTAATCACATACTAAACTAACTGATGGATGATAATATCATGATTCAACTGTTGTCAATGATAACATTACCCAATTCACAAAGAACAAGTTTCTGCTTTTTGCCAAATGTGTATGATGATTTTTGAAGTAAACTTCTTATTCAATATCCCTTCGGAAAGGCATGGAGCAAAAAAGCAGAATGAGGAAGTAGGAAGTGTTACTCAAGTAAAACCTTTTTATAGTTGCTCCATAACAAAAACACGACGAGGAACTAGATCTACATTATGATAAACACATTAACCTCCTTTACTCCGTGCGGTCGGGTAAAAACATTAATAATTATGATGATAATAATATATATTATTATGAATGACACTTTTTACCAAATGCTGATGGTAGAATGATTGTGTAAATTAAAATCAAAATTTACCTTTCCCCAAGGGTGGCTCTTGATTTGAGGGAATTTGAATTCAGTGTAGTTCGGGTTCATCTCTCGAATTTGTTCTCGTGTAGGCGTACCTAGGACCTGTAAAATTTGCAAACGACTTAATATTTACATCTTACATTTTGACGAAAGACAATAGGTGCCGATAGCATTACAAAAAGATACGATAATGAAGGCGAATAGTCTTACAAGGACGATACATATTTACAATGATAAAAGATGAAAATAACAAAAGACTATCATTGTCCTCGCCGGCATTTGTGTATTGCAAAGTAACGCGTGTAGAGTAAGTTAAGTACCTTGATGATCTCAACGAGTTGATCAACGCCAGAGTCGCCAGGGAATATCGGTTGTCCCAGTAACAATTCTGCTACGACGCAACCCGCGCTCCACACGTCTGGAAAGAATGCATAATTATAAAATAATGTCATTTTACTGAGATGACAACTTGTAGTGCTAATAACAAATACAAATGGAAAAATAAACAATTCCTTAAAGGATATTTCGCGCATGTGCGTTAATTGGAGTTAATAAGATAAACAGAACTGTATCACAAGTACGGAGCGGACCATACTCGAGATATCGTGTTATATGACTCAATATGAAAACAGATTAAACAAGAAAAAAAAAATTTAGCTTAGTTGTATTGTATGTCAACTTGTATGGATTCTCGTTTACGTCAGCTACATTGCGTATTAGATTCCTAGGTGGAAAATTTTCGAATCATATCAGTAAATAGAAGGGGAAAAGAGCTCGAAACACGCACTAATTACAGAAAATGTAGCCATTACTTTCAGTAGCCAGGATGTGTGGTCCATACCATACTGTGTCTGTCCCAGTCTAGTGGTTCAGGATTTGAAGAAAAAGTAGTGGCCAACCTTTCTATCAATGTTATCGAGCCGTCCAGAGAAGTTTAACTAGGTTTTCATCATCATCATCTCAGCCATAGGACGTCCACTGCTGAACATAGGCCTCCCCCAATGCTTTCCATGCTGCCCGGTTGGTAGCGCCGTAGCGGCCTACGTCCAGCGCCTTCCCGCTACCTTTATAATGTCGTCGGTTTACCTTGTGGGTGGACGTCCCACGCTGCGTTTTCCGGTACGAGGCCTCCACTCCAGAACCTTGCTGCCCCATCGGCCGTCAGTTCTGCGTACTATGTGCCCTGCCCACTAGGTTAAGATAACTAGGTTTTATCGAAGACCTACCTATTTTAGTTGTGTAGTCTATGGCGCCGAAGATGAGTTCGGGAGCACGGTAGTATCGCGAGCAGATATACGAGACGTTAGGCTCCCCGCGCACGAGGTGCTTGGCGGAGCCGAAGTCGCACAACTTGAGCACGCCAGTCTTCGGGTCGAGGAGCAGGTTCTGCGGCTTGATGTCTCGGTGGCAGATGCCCAGCGAGTGGATGTATGCGAGGCTTCTGAACAACTGATACATGTATAGCTGCGGAACAACAATTGTGTGAGTATGCTTATAGCAAAACGACCAGCAGGGCTATTCCGAAACGCAATTTACGTAGTTTCGGATCTGTCTCCGTCGCTCATGCTAGCATCTCGCTTTGCGTGAGAGGGATGGCAACATTGGAAACTTCGTATAGCATATTTCGGAGTAAACCCCGCAGTTCATTGGCTACATGCAGCGTGTTTAAATGCAAAACGTTCAAAATTAAAGCACTCTCTGCCTAAAGAAGTAAATGAAACCATTTTACATTTTATTCACGTCCCTTTTTAACAAAGGAGAACAGAAATAGCGCATACTAACTAAGCTTATTACATTGCCTTCTACTGACAAACAAAGTTGACTATAAGAACAAAATTAGATAAAACCTCACCTTCACAAACAGATATTTTACATTGGGTGATATTGCATGCTTGTTTTTACATTTCAATGTTATGTTATGCTATATTAAAAATATTACTCAACAGCAATTGATTTATGTCAAGGATTAACACGATTTCATATCAACAATGTGCATCTTGATTTTAGTTAAAGTTTTATAATTTTGTAGTGCGAATGTTCATTTGTAAATCATGACTACGAGATCATAGCCCGAACCCGAAGTAAAGGAGTAAAGAGTGTAAAATTAATGCGCGTGTCAAATGACGCTATACAACAAACAGACGATGAAAATGAGTCAATATTCACCAAATTATCGTGAAAAATAACGCACAGTTTTTATCACGAACTATTTTATACTAATAAATATAATAAACCGAATATTAGTGTATTTATTCAGTACATTTAATTTGTTGACAAAATAAATAGTTTCATAAAATGTAAAGCTTATTAAATTATATTTTAAATCATACAAAAGTACAGCACCTGCGCGGTAATTTTTTTTTTTTTTTTTTTTTTTTTTTTTTTTTTTTTTCGATTCCGGTCACACTCCATCAACAAGTGAAACACATCATCTATTACACCGCATATTTCACAGTTCGGGGTGTCTGTAACTTTCATCAGATATTTAAATTTATTAAGTGGAATGTGGCCAGATCGAAGCCTATGAGCAGTTATTGTATGTAATCTATCAAAACAAGTATTGGCAAACCAGGGCACCCGAGGAGGTTCTGACTGTAGCGTTTTGTACCATATTCCTTTTTCACAAGACCTTTGATTAAAATGCTCTTTCCACATATTACGAATAACCTTCTTATATTTATTGAAAACTTCTGAACTACTTGGTTTTATATCTTTAATAGTACCTTCGCAAAGTGCCAATTTCGCTAAACGGTCAGCCTCCTCGTTTCCCACAATACCTATATGGGCTGGGATCCACTGTAAAACAACCTGCGCGGTAATTACTAGGAAAAACGCACGCGTGTGTAATAAATACCTAAGCTTAATTATGAACCTAAGAACTGTAAAATAATAGTCACTACAAGCAGGTGTATTAAAAATATGTAACAATTAGAGTATAACAAATTGCGTCAATGATAAAAAGTTTATTAGATAATACTTACATTTTTATATTAAAGGGGTGATTATTACATTATTGTGTGCACTTGATTTCAAATAATGATACATAATTAAATCTGGCAGAGAGTTAGTTATTGGAAATAGTAAAGTAATTATTAAAAATAAATAAGTACATACCTTTATAAAACTAATGGGTATTGTTTGTTCATCTTTGGAGTAATGACGTGCCACTTTGTACACAGTCTCTGGTATATACTCCAGCACCAAATTCAGGTACACTTCATCCTTCTGCAAAAACAAAAGTATTACACCACCCACCTTCAAAGCGTAAAGAACTTTAAGATTATAATAATATGCGAACTTGGATTTAACATAATTAATTAGAGAGTAATTAATAATGGAATCTTTTGGCAAGAATGAATTGTTATAATTACAAAAAAATAGAACAGGGAATTGCAAACCAATCTGAAATCAATCCAATTTTCAAACAGGCAAAAATAATATCTCTAGGTTGTGTCATATCCATTCATGGTCATATTTCAGAGAACGATGCATTAAAAGCAAATCAAAAGTGCAAAAAGTTTAACACAAAGTGGTTTATGGATGAGAGAGAGATAGCGAGTATTCCGTCGATAAGATTTCACAGTTGGCCCGGGGCCAAAGGATCTAGGTTCGTGTTTAAATAGTCATAAGAATTACCTACTACAGTCTGGGAGTTAGGCCTTGAACTACACGCATAAAAAATGCATAAGGCATTTTATCGTCAACATTAGCAAAATAGGTAACGGTTTTTCTTATTACGAAACATATTTTGCTAATCATTTAGCCGTACTCGTGGCCCTACCATTCAAAGCAATCTTCACTATCAAACTAATCATATTACTGGCAATATACTTGAATTTGTACCAATAAAATGTAATAAACGGGTTTATTTTATTTATGTTTCAACCGTGAAAAGTTTTTAATATGTATTTCATGTATGTAGGTAGATATACCTATCCCGCAACTCCCATTGCACCAATTTCTTTGTTTCTGAAAAACTTAGGCGTTTAAACAGATACTAAAATATCGTAGTCAAAAACCTTATGCATTTTCTATGAGAGTTTACCTACTCTTAAAATATTTATATAACATTGAATGTGGGACAATGAAAAATGGTGTAACAATGACACGATAGAAGCCGCCGTTCAAAAACAAAAATAAGCAAGCAACAACTCCGATGGTTCTGACGATGCCATGTATGTTTTGGCGATGATAGTGAATGATCGTGTCATCGAGCATCAACTGGTAGTAAAGCCGACCTCATGACGAAAGAAAATGGTGACGTGACCAGAACTCGTTCTGAATTATGCACACAACTGTTCGACTGGCCCCGGAGTTACCGATCGATATAGTTTGCAAACTCAAAAGCGTGACTACATTGTTAATATGTATCAAGACTCAACAATTATTGTTCGGTAACCCTTGCCAAAACACTTGTAGACCTAAGTTGTGCGTTAGCACACTAGCGCAACAATCTGAATGGTTCTGACATACTGCGACTTCAAGACTCTGCATTGCGTTTAATAGTGAGCTCACTGCCGCGGGCACTGCCGCCTCCCCCAAATAAAACACACAAATAACATACCCTTAATATACCAAACTGTATTACACATTATGCACAATAATAATCACATTTCATTAAAGAGCAATATTATAAATAAGTAAATAAATAGATTATAAAGTTACAACTAATTATAAAGTAATGTAACAATAATTACCTTTTCACCACTAGAGTAAAAGAAGTATTTCAATTTTACGATATTACAATGCTCCAGTCGTCGCATAATCTGAAGTTCACGATTCTGTAAACCAAGAGTAACATTACATTAAAGTATACATTCCACTTCCAGAAACTGTAACTGTTTTTATTTAACAAAAAATAAGTTGGAGTGATGATGATTGATCGTTCGGTTAATGATAACAAAGAAATTAATTAGAAGAACTATCTATATTTGTTCTACAATAATTACTTTGATGATTGAATACTGTAATATCAAGAAGGAAGGAATATGCATGAAACAATTCGACTAATTTATCGAAAAACACTAAAATAAATAAAATAGAAAAATGATTAATGCAGAATATGGATAGAAAAACAAATAAATATGTGGAGCTATTTTATAACGACGAAACGAAATAACGATGCAACTACTTTCCAGACTACTACTTACAGCTTCAAGCTACTTCTTTATCACTAACAACTTGAAGCTAATCTAGATATTATAAGAAAAACACAATTATTAATTTTACCTTTGCATGTTTGCATAGCTAAAAAGTCTTGCATATTCCTTATTACTTCTATAGAAACTAGGTACTACTTCTGGTACTAGTCAGGTAGGTACGATGAATTGAAAATTAATTAGAATTTAGAATTAAATGTAGATTTTTAGTAATGAAATAGCGGAATGTAGTTCCTACTCACCTTAAACCTCTTGTCTTGGAGCACCTTTTTGATGGCTATAAGTTCGCCGGTGTCGCAGAGTTTGGCCTGGTAGACGACGCCGAAGCTGCCGTTGCCGATGAGCTTCATGTCGGCATAGCTCACCTCCTGCGGCCGGTCGGGGCCTTGCCCCGGCGTCGCCACCACAGTCGTCACCTTCGAGCCGTCCTTGCCTGCAAAACCGAAAAGTTAACCATCAAAAACAGGCAACAAGTACCTACCTACGCAGCTACGGCGACGTTTCGTGACGACAACGCCGGCATGCGGGCCACGCGAATTTCATTTCGACACGCACAATGGAATTATAAAGTAGCTGTCTGTCTAGTAAGGGAGAAAGTTATTTTAAACAGTGGGTATGCCAGACTTTATTCATTTTAGTCATTTCTAGTTGTAACCCAAAATACCTCTTATTCAACAACCCGCTAAGACCTATGTCCATTGATTCCTTTGATTCCCATTAAAGGAGAGACTGATCAGTATACTCGTATTGAATAGTCGTAAAAGACACTGACATGGATTAGATAGAAATAATCATTGGCGTCCACTGTCTAATAAGACATATAGAAACAATCAATAAAGATGACCTAGCATGGTGGTGCGCGTTCCATGCAACGCCAGCTAAGTTTATGGTTCAAATCAAGGTAAAAGAGGTAGTAAATAATGTAAGTGAGAATTGCCAGATTACGTCTATTAGTTTGGTTATTATCAATAATTGATCTTCAGATTAAAATTGGCTCCTAATAGGATTATTGTAACCCGTAACGTTTTACCATCAATCACCTGCGAAGCTACGAGGTGATTTTGAGAAAGTTGAAAAAGGTGATTATCAAATTGTGATGCCTTTCTGAGATTTGTGCTAACGAAGTTAAGTTTTTACCGCTTTTACCAATTTTGCCGTAATGAATAATTGTGTGATAGTTTAGTTAAAAGTTTTCTAATAATTATGATGAATCGATCGAATATATTCAAACGAGCAAAGCCGCAGCCAATGACTAAGTAATTATGATATCATTTGGAATTTATACCTCTCATTAAAGTTCTTAGTATGTGTGATACCTCCTATATTCCCATATCATGTTTCGTAAACTAGGTATTGTGATATTATCTGACACTATCTGTTAAAAATGTGTTTTTGTCTCACGCATAATGTTCGTCTTACTTTATATTGAGAAGTTTTAAACATTTGTTATCAATTAGAATTATAACAACATTGGTATCTTATTTGGGTTAATTCAATTATAAGTGCCAATCTAACGCACACGAATAGATCTAATTTAGAGAATCTTACATCCTATTGAAAAAAAATAGACATTCAACAATAAAGAATCGTAATGAAATTAATAAAACATCGTGTTGTGCGTCGACGTCATTCACGATTGCTACTACTTTTAGCACTATAATTATAGTTGGTGAAAATGGGTCTGGCAAAGCAATAACTTAATGATACTTTCTCTGAATTCTTACGATGGAAGAACGACCAGTCGACCACATTATTGACAAGTGATCTTACACAACTATACGAACGACCTCTCTCTAATGCAATTTAGTCCTAACTAATGACGCAAATGAATCCGCTTCGCTGACAGTAACGCATATAGCAGCAGTTTGTTACACTTCTACAAATAATACGAGTTCATCAAATACAATGTTTTGAATGCATAAAAATATGTTAGTTATCAAGTAATACGCTATCTAACTATTACACATTTAAGTAGATAAACTTTCAACCTTCCTCGATAATTTCATTGGTTATCATGATTTAACTGACATTTCAGAAAAAAATATCACAAAAGTAATGTTAATGTAACATAAATGAAAATACACGTCACATGCAATTCATGGCCCTCGGGATTGTTTGTCATGGATAAGTAACAACTACCACAGATTAACAAATATCACTGGCACATTTTGTAGAGGCAAGTCGGAATTTAAAGGACCGATTTCCTGGTTCTTTTCAAAGTTTGAAATAGTTATTTGACATAACGCTTTACAGAGAAAGGTTACCGTTTATCAGCCATCAGATCTTTATCAGAGACCTGTGAAACCAAAAGTTGTAGTTTTGTGACATAATATAAGTTTTTCATAGGCTATCAGAATTTATTGGCAAGTGGTGAAACCGGTGACTAGGTGATATACTCACACGGAAATACTGGCTGATAAAATCTACTAACTATAATTAAAACATATCGATGCTCGTTAGGTTCCGACGATACAAAGTTAGGTGAAATCGGCTGCAATATTTAATTACTTATACGAAAAATTTTGAATTAATAATTGGCACACAATTAAAACCTTCAGACTTGTTGACGAGTTTGAAAACAAAATCCACTTTAATTCTTGTTAGTTTGCGTCACAATAATAATGCATCAAGTTGTAGGTGCAATTACACAAATCGACAAATTGGGCCAACCCAGCAAACAAATTAAATAAGTCAGGGTTATACGTCCAATTGACCGACCGATGCGGAACGATATTGGCGATTATAGCACCCACTGTTGTAGGTACTCCTCACTGATTAAATTGATAGAAAACACTTCTGATGCATAGTGGTTTGCAATTGAATAATTAATACAGAATGTCTTAGTTCTTTTGGTATTTTATTTTCAAATATTCCGTCTAACTGCTATCACCGTTAACGACTCGACTGAAATAACACGCAGTAGCTACTCAATAAGTAAATTGTATATGAAAAAATATTTAGTTGAAGCGATATCTACATTTTGTTTAAATTTTTCGTCTTTGTTTTAATGAAAACATTAAAATTTAAGAAATTAGCCACTATTGAAAAATAAACTGGGCAATATTACTAATGCATCTGTAATCTCAGTGTTACTGTGTGTAAGTACTAATCACCACAGTTTAGAAGTAAATAAAGTGCTTTTATGTTGCGTATATTGTACCTGACTTGAAGAAATTAAAATCATAATTTGTAAATCCGGTAAAGGACACCTCTTTTTTACGTTTAGTCTAGGGACTCTGTTTGCATTGCCGATTGTAGTCAATCGTCGTCTACCACCAAACAATCGCCTCTATGTAAATAATGGCATTCGTTCTGTACAATGATCTTACTTATAAAAAGCTTACTACAATAAAATTGTTACTTGGATTTCCGGTGTATAAAAACAGCTAACAGTATTCAGGAACTGTCTTTTATTTGTTAAGCGCGTCTTAAAAACACATCACAAAAAGCAAACGTTAAAATCTTATTGGTCAAACTCTAGTTTGATAAACTCGGCTATTCATTTAGAAAGTTTAAATACCGGAGTACGCACACTGAATGGCTACACACAAAATTGTCCTATAATGGTTTGGCTAATAAATTATTCAACTTGAAACAGGATGGCGGAGTTTTAATTTGATAGAAACTTGTAGGGCTTTGAACAGCGCTGACCACTTCGATGAAGTTCGATGGCGTCATTAATTAGGCTAGCTAGTTCATCTGTGCCGCGACTTCATCAATCAATCAATTCTACGCTTCTCGTTGGTGGTCGGGTACAGTGCGAGTGCAGTGGGGTTACTAATTAATTACTATGAAGCGTGTGTTCATTCGTGACGAGCACAGCAATCGAGACTCATAGAAACCGATTGGTCACGCACACTCAGTTTGGGGTACCTAGTACTCCAATGCAGCCTTGGAATCATAAGTCAGGTGTGGTATCAATCACACCAGTACAATTCCCTTATTTGGTTGGAATAAAGAGGGCGAGATATCAATCATGCCATGGAAGACCGACGTGCCGCACCCACCTAGCAACCCTTATTGACGCAAGCCCTAACGCACTCCACCCTTGTTTAACAGCATTCTATCCGAGTACTTTCTGTTTATTTATAGAAATCCAATAGCTATTACCACGGTGTATAAAAAATATGATGTAATCCTATTTTTAGGACTCCAGATTAGGACCTAATGGGTAAGTTATCCTAAAGTTATCTCGTTAAACGGAAAACTGAGGAAGAAGACATATAAATTAAACCTAGTGTCTACGTATACGTTTTTATTAAATTATACTGATAACATTATATTTTTTATTTCAAGTAATGTTACTGTAAACACAAAGCACAAAGTAAGTTTTGTGGAGACAAATCTTCACATCAAGTTACTGCACATTATTTCGTGATGAGAAAAAGTTTCATATTTATCAAAACCATGTGTATGTAAATGTGTGTTATTTTGGGACAACAACTGGGCCCCAAGTCTGCTATTTTTAATTAAATGACAAGCTATTGTTATTCAATTGATATTCAATTACAATTCCATTACGATTGACACAAATTTGGTATTCTGCTAAAACTTGTTTACAATATCAATGAAGTCGTAATGTAATTGTAATGGGATCGTAATTGAATAGATAATGGTGTTGCCATTAAAATCCTTTCAAAATCTACCAAGGGACAAAATGAGTGAATGAACTATTCTATTGTTTTAAATATATGTTTTTTTTATTTTCTGTGATTCTATTACAAAGTAAACTAATGAAAATGAAGCGGTTTGTCCATAAAAATTGATCTAGAGTCATTTAAAACCATTTATTTCTAACACATTGGCTGTAATTACATGGGACAAAGTCAATAATTAAAAAAGCATCTGTCAACTGACATGTCAATGTTATGAAAATCATCAATTATTTAGGCCAATTTCAATTTTGATTTGAATTTAATGATATTTTGAATGAAAATCACAATTTTAAACCAGTAGGTATATGCACAATTACTTTTTTATGTCTGAAGTAATCTGTAAAAGTGTATAAGTGTGTATTCAACAATCTATTATGTTGATTTTAATGTGTAATGCTTCACACGCAGGATTTTATGTTCAGAATCACATAAATCTTAATTAAATCCATTGAGTTATAATGTACTTATTACTTCAATGATTAAATCAAGGCAAAAACAACCACTTGATACAAATATTACATTTAATAACAATAGTATAAAATTCGTCTAATAAAATCACCTATAATATTTACCTACCTACTTAGTACCTTAGTACTTACACTTTACTAATATGGAAGCAATAAGCGTATTGTGTATTAAGAATAGAAATAGATTCAAATATTAGTTGAATTGCTATTATACTGACTCTGAAAATTCACAAGGAGTTCAAAAACTATATGGATCTAATGGTTCTATATTGGCTCACATACAATTCTAAATNTTGGTCAATAAGGAAATCATGGGGCCTCTCCCAATGATTTCCTTTCCTATGTTCAACAGTGATGTTGATGATGATCTCCGTCAGGACCCTCACTTCCGCCTTTCCGAGTCGCAATGTTTTTACAAATGTTCCGATTCATGATTTAGGGCATCCACCGATCCATCTTCGATACTTATCGGGTATAAGTCAAAGCTAAAATGCGTAAACATGCCACTGATGGTCTCATAATTAATTTTTAAACGAAACACGAAACAAAAATCGTAGTTAACACCACATAAACACCTATTGTTGCTCAATCGTACTCTAATAGCAAAATTGCCATTGAGAGTTCATTGGACCAAATGTCAAACAAACGTCAAATAATAGTAGAATACCATTTTAACCCACAATCGATTTACGATTGTAACACGATTGAAGAGCAGACTACCAAAATAGTCCAATGGCAGTTCAATGGAATTCCATTGGAAAATCATTGGTCTTTATTTATTAGCAGAATACCAATAGTGTCAAATAATTCTATTGAGATTCGATTACGATTCAATTGAGCCATTTGTAAATTAGCGGACTTGGGGCCCTGTAGAGCTGTTGACTTGCTAACTATGTAATATTGTTGCATTTGTAAAGTTACGTAATAACTTATTTTAAAAGTAAAATACATTGGGCTGGCATCCGAAAGTCGAAGACATTGATTTTATTAATGTCATCATACATAAGTTTGCTGCATTTTTTATGAACTTTGAATAAATTTATTAAAAGATAAAATATGATTTTGTTGTTGGCCTTATCTTAATGTTGTAATTAAGATTCGCGCATCATAACTGTAAATTAAGTGAATACACATTTTTTCAGGGTTAAGAAGAAGTCAAAACAGATCACAATTCATTGCAAAACATCAAAGCCTTCCATCACAAAGCCATTTCATGAATGCCAATTACACACACCCGTCAACCATGCCAGGAACGCATAAATAAACAATTTAAGCCAGATAGGGGTTTCTTCCGAATCAAAAAAAAGAAACAAAATGAGTTACACAGAGACCAATTTCTACACTACAACATCAACATAAATAAAAATACTCATTTAGAAAATTAGAAGGGACTACATTTTAGCCACAGAATTAAAAACTCAATACACATACTTTTTTTATCAAATAACGATTGTAAATTCAATCGCGAGTTCTAAATTAAGATCCTATTTTTAATTTACTCTACTTTTTTTTACAAGTTTATTTGTTATAAAGAATGAGTTAGTTTTGAGCGTAGTTCTCGCTTTCTAATCAAAATAATGGTGGTGCATATGAAAAGAAACTGTGTAACTACAACCCATCTAAATGACGTGCGCCACATCTAGCACTTACGATGCGAGGAGGCCGCCTTCTTTTCTGAAGCCAGCTCGGTCTTTTTAGGAGTTTCCACGTCGCCTGCGAGTCGCAGCAAAACACAAAAGCAGCATTAGAACATTGCATTGACATACACATGTGATACGGAAAGTCGTCAGGTGATAATGGGCATGAGAATGTATGACCTGAACATCCAAGATACTGAAGCTAGGACACTCACTAATGGTACGCCGCAGTTTCTTACAGAAAGAGGAGAGGCGGTCGCGAGCGCGACTTAGTTGGCCACTTTTATCGGTGTCAAGTAAACGGAGGAGCGAGGGCTCGGAGCGCGCGGTCACCTCGCCGACGGGGCGCAGAGCCACCGTCGCGGGGCCCTCCGATACTCCTAGGTTGTCGAAGCATACCGGCCCCGCGGAACACTCCAGCTTGGAAGAGGATCGCACGCGAGCGCGCGTCGTGGTAGACTGCCGGTCGTCAGCGCAGCGCGACGCCACTGCCCCGCCCAGTGGCCGTACCGTACCGTACAGGTCGACCTCACTTTACTTTAAGACCATCAATTGTGCTAATTTCAATTCGCAACAGTCACTATCATCATAGTACTACGACGGTTCTAATATGACAGACTTTCCTTCGATTAAGTAATTACCAAAAACAAACCACTATGGCTACAACAAGGATGTAAGAATACCATGTGAAAATACTGGAAGTACGGTATGTTATCGTGATATAATATGAATGTTTTTGTTTACAAAATAAGTAGCATATCGATAAGAACCAAGATTCTCCTGATATTTGGAAAACATAAAAAAACAGACAATTTTTCATAATGATACACTTACCTATCCGATTATGAAATGAAATCTCATAAAGAAACTGTATCTACGTACATCATCTATGACATTTGATATCTTGCAAAATATCGCCAACTGCGCTTTTTGACTATTATTTTCTTTTAACTACCGAAGTTAAGGGGATTGACATGACATGAGGTTCATTGTAATCGTTCTGATCAGTACTACATCACATGCAATGCGTGTCCGTCTCTTTATACAACCTGTGATAATTTACTTGTGTCGTCACAGACAAACAAATCAAAATTACTTCTAGTGTTAAAAGATTTCGTACACGATATCAATTCTCAAAACTTATTCTGCGTAAATAGAGATAGTTATTTTGATAAACACGAATAACAGAATACGGTGTCTGTGCCGATGTATCATAAAAGAAGCGGTTTTCAGTTTTGTTTTGGAGAGATTATTAACCGCTAGCTAATCCAAGCTTGATTGTTCGCTAACAGAATTAGCAACGTCATGGACACGAGACAATCGGATTAGAATTTTTGGGGAAGTTTGTTGGGTTCTTAGCACGCGAAGAACGCGGAGAGCACGCACCTGACATTCGATACGCTTTCACAAGCTACTAGTTGATTAGCGTTGATTGCGCAAGGCCGTTTTGAGGGCAATTTTTAAAAATAAAACTAGCAATTCGGCAATTTAGGAAATCAATAGTTTTCATGTAACGCTTAATACATAACAATATAATTTTTCCATGTTTCACCGATCTTTTTGTTGTTTGTCGCGTACCTACACGCGTAAAAACTTCACGTTGCTCGTAATAGGTACAGTAATATTAATTACCTCTATCGGTTTTCAACATTAAAGATTTAATTATTAATTACTGTTTTTAAAAAGCTAATAGAAGCATTTTTATTACACAGAGAACGAGATGAATGGCCTCTCTGTCTGCTTATACTCATCGGCATTATCATTCATAATCAAGAAATAAATACCTGTATTATTTTCATATCATTTTAGTTAAGCTATGAAATATACTGTATTTATGAATGATTTGATTTCAGACGAATTCAATGATTTAGAAGACCCTGAGCATCTATTTCCAATTTCCTACCCTATAACGTGAAAGACCTGCTCCAAACATAAATCACGACCAAATAACAGATAAATGAAACCAACGGATGCCTGATGCCCCTGGTGCACATGTGGTAAAAACATACAGAAGGATTCTTCTCCGGTTATAACGAATGATTACGGAAAACATGTCATGACTGTACATAAATGAAACGGTAAGTGGAATGACCAACAAGTATTAAATTAGGCTTGGACTTTCCATGATTTGGAAAATACTAGAGGAACAAAAAATCGGATGAGCGAAGACGGTCGAATATGGTTCGAGGAGTGTGGTCGAATAATACACAGATATTTTCTTAAACCCGTAGATCATGTTTTGTATCGTAGTCCTTAGAAGAAGTTAGGGAAGACTAATAATAGCTAAACTGACACTAAAAAGGCGTGGGTGGGATGTGTATTTATTTACTTTATTGAGGAAATAATTACGTCAGGAAATAACTGTCTCCATTTTCATTACTTTTAATATCGTCAGTGGAAAGGAAAAATGCTTGTTTTCACCTTTTTTTTCATTAACCACTGGGGCCAATTAACATCTAATAGAATACTCCCGACAAAATAAGATCGCATTTATTAAGGACATTCAATACATACTGATGCCAGTTAAACTAACACCAAATAAAATAACAAGCTATGTTTTATCGTTAAACACTGGGCAATTTGTCGAAAATACAGTGACAGTAGGTACGCTTTTATCCTAATACTTCCGAATATTTTTGTACTAGCAAAAAACAACAGTGATATATATCTACTGGTGTTATATTTTATTCTATGTTTGGTCTTATGTTTTAGTATTTGAAATTCCTTGATTGAGCCGAAAATGCAAACTTAAATGCGTCTCTTTGCGCTACAATAATAGACAATGAATAACGAAAGACCAAGCCAAAATATTAAGAATTGTTTAAGTAAACGTGACCACATGATAGTGCATTTGGTCGCTAATTCTCCGTCAGTCACACATTATGCATGTCACAGACTGGTGCGCAAGCCTTTGTGTTAGGAAAGCGATACCACGTTTGCGGTTCTTTACGGTCAGAGCGCGCGCTCGCAGCTTTTGAATTCGACCAAGGCTCTATTGTCACAAGATAACTAACCGCAGATAATGAGAGAACCGGTCCCGCCACCTCCGTCATGACGCATCACTCGACTTGCTCTCTTCACTCTCAAAACTAATAAAGTAAAAAACCATTATAATATTTAGCATGTAAGTAAACATAAGAAAAGCCAGCAACGTGTACATAAGTATATTTTCCTTATCACAAATAGGTAACATAATTTATCGATTCATCTACTGTGTCACATCACATGCCTTTACACGTCATGCATCATTTCAAGAAGGATGATAATAACTAACTAAACCTTTTCCAAAATGATCTCAACTAAACATTCAACTCTATTAATAACATTGTCTACCTATATGCTGGGAAACTGCCTGCTGAAATAAATCTGGGCGTATTTCCAAGGCAGGCCATGGTTGTGACGCTTTTGCGAGTTAGCACAACAGGCGAGAGGTCATTGATAACTGCGTCGAAAAAATTCGAACAAATTACTCCTTTAATTGAGTTTCGGTAAGTTCATTAAACATATAAAACGCGCTAGTAAAACTGTAATCAAATATTGATAGAAAGGTGAGGAATTATCTTCAGATCAGAAAGGAGAAAGCCTTAATGACATCAATCAACGAGAATCAAGTAGAAATTTTCATACAAAATTACTATAGTATTAAAACAACATTCTACAGCAGATGCAAAGGAGCTCAATCGTTTGTAGCCGTGTTGGATCGGAGTCTCTCATTACTCCTAACTGCGAGATCGAATTCCAGCACTAATCTATGGAATTTGACGGCAAGAGGCTTGCATCAGATTACACTAGATGCGGCATGTAGCAAACTAGCTTCGATTGTGCGGGTCAGTCCGTCTCCTTTATGGAGGAACAGGGCTAAACTTTACAAAGGTGAACAGGTCAGATGATCATCATTTGTCGAATATCCTACGTCCAACAAAAGCTGGGCGGTAAAACAGTGACTACCTATTCAGCAGATTATCAGAACTATAATATGATACTGTTTAGTAACGTCACGCAGAATCTTATCTTGACGAAATATTATTATATATTGTAAAATATATATGTATATTATTTATTTACCATCGTTGATTATTTTATTGAATAGAAAAAGTGCGTTGTTAGGTATATTTTCGAAGTCTTTGTGATTGCGATTTAAGGACGCATTACAAAATACCGTTTTGGCTTATTATAACAATTTATTTACTGTTTAATGAAATTATACATATTTTTATTACCGAAAACATGTTCGACGCTTTTTCTAAAAGCCAGTCGTCGTCGTAATAGTATAACTCCTTGAATTTCCTAGCAAGAATATCAAATAGGTAGAATGTGCTATTGTATAAAATATAGAAAGTACCTACTTAATAATAACTACCTGCACATCATGTCTGCTAATTTTTTATAAGAATTTTAACATAACAATATAATAAAAATAAAATTGCTATTACAAATTCGAGTTGTTCACTGGACCAGAATTGACTAGATTATTCAAATACAATACTTGAAAGAATGTTACCATTTTTTTTAACTAAATATAACGACGGTTCCGCCGACTTGGCCCTGGTGTTCCGATCGTCACGATCGGTATTGACGATGTAAGTGCCGCGTCGGCGCAACATTATTCCTGCCCGCTAACTCAGTTCCATGTAACATGAAGGTTACTGTTGCACTCCACTGACCACACGATCATTATCACCAAACTTAACTGCGGAACAATTTTCTGTTCTTCACTGCTAACATTTTCAACACTTCACATGCCTAATGAATGCTCACTGAACAATATTCAGCGGTTAGCTACGGACGAATCGACAGATTGTTTTCGAATTGTTCGCGCACCGGATAACTGCGACTGTGCAGTACTGAGGAAGTGGGTTAACGAACCAATTGGTAATTTTGCAACATGCACTGGCTACGGCGACCACGTCGCTCGACTGTGACGGGGGCGCTGAGCGAAAGGCGACTCAACGAAAACCGAGAGTGCGTTGCCGCGGCGCTTCCGCGAATGGAAGGATGAGGCGGTCACGCCGCCCGCGAGATAGCGAGATCGACAACACTCACTGATAACGGCGCTGATAACATTTACGTGTACATCATCGAGCGCGAGACACTTAACATTCGTTTCATAATTAAATAATACATCAAAACGAATAGTTACGTTAAATCGCGATAGATAGGTTATTTATTTACGAATTAAAGATAAAATATCCTAATAGATTCATTGATATTTGAGGATATGAAACCAATTAAATGTAATTAACCTATAGAAATTGCATACACGATCTCATCAAGGCACAAAACGTTGGGCCAAGGCTGCGACGCCGGTTGCTGCATCATTAAAAATGTAACAGTTAGCCGCGGGTAGGTGTTTAACCCACGGTAACTCTTGTAAATTTTTTAAATTTCAGTCCAACACTTGATTTATTTATCTGAGTTTGTATAGAATAAATAGAACTCGCGAACAAATGTAGGATATTTTAAACCATTTTCGCGAGTTTCTTGATTGACATCAAGGCAAGAAACACTATAATGTGCAAAAGTAATTAATTTGGAGTTTATTGTACATTTTGAGGTCAAATTACCAAATTTTAACCCATAGAGCAATATATTTGGATTTTGATCAAAGAACTCATTAAAAGTACCTCTTGATTCATATTAGGTATATTTTCATAACAAATTATCTCCTGTAAGAAATTGCTAAATTAATTTGCCCACTGATTGGTAGTTGGCCACACACATGGCCAAGGAAATCACTACATTAAAATAATTCTGAATATTCCTTTGAAAGTATTTCATTTCACTGTTTCCATGCCATATAATGAATGGGAGACATGACTATGAAAGAATATAGACATAGTTCTTAGGTCACATTTAAAACTATGTACTTAGTTCATGACATTTCTTAATATTGACTCGGTAAAATATTGTTACTTATTTTTATGNAGTTGATGTCGCACGGAAAATATTCGCTAAAAATTCTACTTTAGTTTGTAATTTTTTTTTTGGTGGATAATGCGTTTATATAAGTCATAATAGATCACCTAAATAAATATGGCGAGGATTGAAATCAACACCCTGTATTTACCCATTGTATTTAAGTCAGCTACCGCAAAGCAAGGGTAATTAATAATAAGATACAATAGGAAAAATCTAAAGTATGAGTTTTGGAAAAAACATCTTAGTCAGAAATTGTCAATGAGTACAGAACAAAACAGTGTTTGCAACAATTTAAATAATCATGTCAAATATTTTTTACTAGGACAGTCTAGTTAAATATTTTATAATGTCTTTTTTTATAATTTATAAATTTATTAGAAAAAAGACAGTGTATAAAATATTATAAAACTATGTTTAAATAAACAAATAATACTAATACTTGAATAGATAATACAATATTTAAAAAAAAGAATATAAAAGTTAAATAAAGTTACACTGGTATCATCTTAAAAAGTATTATTGTACTATTTATTTACTATATAGTTTTTGTTTGTTAAGTAAAACTTAATAAAATTTGAACCCTTAATAAAATTATGGCTGACAATAGTGACTGAGTTTCTTGCGCTGCTTCTTCTCAGCACTGGCCCATTTATTGTCCCGAAGCAGTGGTAGGGTTAATATTGGGACGTGTAAAAGCGCTTTTTTAAAGCCTATTTGCAAAAATAAATGAATTTTATGAATTTTTATGAATTTTATGCTAATGAAGTCATAATTTTATCATCAATAGGTAGTGTGATGGAAACTTAGTACCTAAAACATATTATCATTAGAATTCATGTTTAAATTCACATTAATGCTACAGATTTATGTAATACTCATTAATATTAACCAATTTGGATTATCCTAGTACAGAGTTTTTCAACCTTTTTCATGACACGACCCCCCTAGCATGAAAAAATATTTTGCGACCCCCTACCGCTCGCCTTTTTTTTCTTGCATTTAAAATGTTACAAAGATGTTGTGGGAACTGAGTATTTCAATCCATAAAACATTTTTATGATTATATTAGATTTTGGATAAACCTATCTTTATAAGTAATGTTTTTTTACTGAGGTAGATTTTATGACCTCACGCGACCCCCCTATAGAGGCTTGGCGACCCCCAGGGGGTTGCGACCCACAGGTTGAAAAACACTGTCCTAGTAGGTCACTGGGTCTCTGGTGCACACATTTTAATATCGAGTGTATGACAATAATAAATTTGTGAAACCAACATAGCCAAATTATTATAATACCTATCTGGTTTATAACCAAAGCCTTAAATATATTTAGTGGAAATGAATTTTAGAAAATGCTATAAGTATGTAAATTTGTTACAACAAAGCATTTTTGACACAAAGAATATTTTGAAGTTCATATCTTATTGGTTATTTGCTATGAACTTTGGTTGAATATTATGTGAGCATTATGGTGATTGGTGGTCTGATCAAGTATGTGGGGATTACTTATGATATAGATAATATGTTTTTTAGCAATAAAGCTCCCATTAAATTACGTCATATTAAAGTAACCTCAAAATAATAGGAATAATCATTAGGTACCTATGAAGAAATTGAGGAAATCCCTTACAATTGGCTCATGGGAACAAGAATATAGTGGACTTCTTATTACACCGAACGCGTTTCAATCATTACGTTTTGGACGCATCGCGTTCAAATTCTTACAATTTTGACGTGATAGCTGTCACAATGCCAGGCCTATGTGGCAGAAATGAAGCACAGGCTGTGGCCATTTTTGAAACGCTATAGACGTAAATGTAGCCGATATTGATTTACCCCGAAATTGTTAGAAATAACTAACATAAATGCTCATTTGTGGCAGTTTGCAGCCATGTTTAAAATTGTCAGTAACGAAATACGTCACAGGCGCAAAGAAATCACGATGGCCGACAAAAGAATGGTTAGGTGGTACTTACTGCTAATTTTTACGCCTCCAAGAGGTGGTTTCGGTGGTTGATTATCGAATGTCTTTCGAACGGATTTGCTGCCCTCGGCGAATGACGTGGTCCTAGGGCGTCCGCTCATTATTAAACTTATAAAATAAACGGCTTTAGAATCCTGAACTTCATAGATACTTCACATTTCTCGTTACCACCCTTGCACACGCACTGAACTCTCTCACTTTACCGACGGTATAAATTAAGTCAGGGCTATAATAGTCAAAACAATATCACTAAGATACAATTAAAATCAAAATAAGATTATCCTTTCAAGCTTTTACAATATCATTTTCTTAAAATTTCAAAATTTACATCACTAAAGTGAACGACAGATTTTAGTTTCTTCGTCTTCCTTCTTGACTTGCACTCGCTCACTCGTTCGGCTATGTCCGGAACCCATTCGGACGTTCGATCACTCCCCGAACATGACGTCACATAACGATGTGTGCTGCCATCTACAATAAAATGATTAAAAACTTTCGTTGAATTAGAAATATCGGTAAAACAGCACACAGCTAGTTTTACACTTACAAAATATAGATTAAAAACGAAGCTTAGGCGTTGTACCCAAAGAAAACATTTTTGAACAGTTTATTTTTTTTAAGTAAAATGGGTGATTTCCAGATATAAGTATTATTTAATTACTATACATTAATTTATTGTTATTACCAAAATTTCATTAGCGAAAAGAAAATGAAGCTAAACTTTCCATACGACAGAGCCATCTGTCGGGGAGGGGCTTAAACCTATTTATTTGTTGAATTAAATGTTTTGTAATAAAATGTAATAAATGGCACGTCATAAATTGGTCGTAGCAATGTGATTACGCCCAAATTTTAAACTGTTGTAAGTATACACGCATCCAATAAATAACATTCTTTAATAACTCTGCAGTGAACCGCCAATCAGCGCCAGCTCTCACGATGCGACGCAAACCAAACGATCCATCGTTCATTCGTATTAATTAATGCGCCGCCTGTTTTTGTGACGCAGTTGCGCGTGCGCCGCCGGCGTGATAGGCGTGCGCTTCATCTAGTGATTGAGAATTGTTTGATAATGTGATTTTCAAAATATTTTGCGCAAGTCAGAGGTCAGAATAGCCTCAGCGCAATCAATCTACAAAATGGAGTGTTACACGTCGGACAGCTGCGACAGTGATAGCAGAGAACAAAAAACTCTCGATTTATCTTGCCAGTTATTGGAGTCCATCGCCTTATCGGCTGAGCTAAGAGGCATTGTTGATGAAAAGGACTGTGCAAAAAGTTACGAGATAATTCTGCTCTACAACAACAGAATAAAGACTCTACCAGACACACTAAACAGGTTTTGCAACTTGAAGATATTGGATGTGAGCAATAATAGGCTTACGAGTTTACCTGATGTGCTCAAGAATTGTCCACTCACTACACTCATAGCAAAACACAATCAGCTGACAAATGATTCGTTACCAAAAAGCTTTTACTCCGCTAGAACTACATTAAAGGAACTTAACTTGAGTGGAAATCAACTAAATGTCTTCCCAGAACAAGTGTTAGAATTATGTTCGCTTAAGTATCTCTATCTTGGGGGCAACAACATAGTCAATATACCAAAGGATATATGGAAATTAAACAGGTAGGTATTGTTTAAGACAGTGTTAATATAACGAAACGATGTTCCGTATAATATTTTTGATCTGCACAATTTCTTAAGTAAACATTCATGTTTTACTTCTTTGTTCTCGGACTGATATCTTTCATGTTATATAAATACTTGGTAAAACACCCGAATGTGCATTGTACTTAGAGCGTAATAAAATTGCCTTATTAATGTGTAAGGTATCCTATTGGAAAACTGGAATCACCAATTCCTTTAACTACCTTCGTCATTTCTCAATCAACAGGAAGGAACTTTGAACATTATCACTTAACTCAGTATAAAGTCACCTGTGTACATTATACAGCATCCATGTAATTAAATGGCAATGACTTACGTGTCACTTCTAAGGTTGAATAAACTTTAACAATAGTTTTTGAAGTCTATTAAAGGATCGATAAAAGTCACATTTTACCACTCTTGCTTGTTCATAAAGTGACTCCTCTTAATGCACATTTATTTATTGTAGCTATTACCTACAGTACAAATTAAGTTAGCTCCACCGGAATGTGTACCTTACCTACTACAACGTTATCTGCTTGAAATAAAGTTCTTGTTAAAAGTGTTATTAACATTCCTGTGCAGTTGTCAATTCTACCGGGAGTTTTTCTGGACATATTATTCCCATGACTATTGCCGGATACATCCAGTTGCCTTGATTATACTCTGAAAATGACTTTAATTAAAATTATGCACATTGCTTCTTTACCACTAGATTAGTAGAAAGTGATTTCTTAGTCATTTACTAATTTTTATAATTATAATTTAGTTAATAGCTATAATAGCTTCTTTCTTTAGTTTACAGATTCTTTCAGTTGGAGGTAACCAAATAGTAGATGTTCCGGATTCAGTTGGAAGACTAAGAACCCTGCAAGCACTGGTTTTAAGTGACAACCTCATAGAACAACTACCTGCTAGTATCGCGAACTTGAAACAATTGCGTTCCTTGCTATTGCACAAAAACCGCCTAAAGACTCTTCCTACTCAAATAATCAAATTAACTTGCCTCACAGAGGTAAGTCGCTGTACCTTCATTATCATAGTTAACATAACAACACTATCACCACCACCACGTTCTCTTGACATAAATTCACTAACGACAATATGGTATTGAGCTTGGGCCTAATCTATTTGAGTTTACTCAAGTCGAATTATCAAAGTTGATTTAGTTACTATCAACTCTGTTCAATTTAGGTTCAAGAATAGGCATGGGTTTATGCTTGAGCTTGAGTGGAGGATGAGCACGCTCAAGTTAAGATTCTCAGTCTCAATTCAGAATTCGTAGGTTAGCGTACAATTAGAAGGAAATATGTTTTAAATCCTCATCCGGTAACAACTATACTTACTAGCATAATATTTCAGTAAGAATAAAAAACTACTTATTTTACCTAACTGGGTAGGCATGCAACAAACGCAATTGATATGCGATGTGATCTACAATCTAAACATGCGGAGTAGTGGATGTCCACGTCTTATGCATACAGTGTTGCAACTGACACCTGCCTATATTACTTACAACATACTTCCAAGGTTCTTTTTAGAGATTACGTTAGGTATTCTAATACATACCTACGCAATCACAATACTGCCCAACTGCCCACATCTTTAACTCCACTATGTACAGTAGCGTGACGTGCTGTCGTCTGTCCATAATAAAATAGATAGATGGTACAGTGAGTGCTGACGTTTGTACATAAAATAGATAGACGGTAGAGTGATTAACGTATTCTACTGAAATCCACATCACAGCTAGGAAGAAGGCACTTAGACCTACTTGCTGCAAAAATACTTCTTATCATTTCAATTTGCTTTACAGTTTAGGTACACATATAAGTAGGTGCTTGTTTATCATTAATTTCATAATACGCAAGTCATTATTTTTTGTTTTGCTTCCATTACGTAAATATATAAGATAGTAGTAAAAATACAAAGCCTTTAATACTTAAAGATATTTATCCGATGCATGTTAAAAATAAAAAAATAGCATGACGTTATCTCAAACTTGTTCACCCGTAAATACAAGTAATGATACAAACAAAAGACCAAAATGTCAAGTTACAATATACTTAATTAAGTAGTAACTCATGCTTTTTACTCAATTTCATCTTGGTATAATCATAAGTAGGTACATGGTATTAATGGAAACATAGAAAAGTCTCCTAGAATAATTGCAAAAACTACATCAAAATTACTTAGGTATTAATAAACAAATATTTTTATTTACAGTTGAGTTTACGTGATAATCCTCTTGTGGTTCGGTTTGTTCGTGATATGACTTTGGAACCACCCTCGTTGTTGGAGCTTGCAGGCCGTACCATAAAACTACATGATATACCAATACGTATGGGAGATATACCAACAACCTTGATCAACTATTTGAACGCTGCACAATGTTGCGTCAATCCGAAATGTCGAGGTAAATTTCTCTTAATATAAGTTATAAGAGTTACTAGGGATTCGATAGGTATGCCTATTCCATACATTCGACGTAAACTTCGACTTCTTAGGTAGGTTTCCATTCGGTTGAACTTATGTAAATTTTACAATGGCAAAGAATACGTGGAATTTCTATCTATCAGTCTTAATTTAGACATTAATAACTATTTTGATAATGTTGAGTTCAACCTGTGATTCAACGGTCCCAAATAGGTTTTTAATAGTTTACCTACAAACTAAGTTGTTTTTTTTTCTCTGTAAACAAATATAATTTCATATTTAATGCAAATCACAGAGATCGCCATCTGGCGACATCTAATTGAAAATGTGTATAGCAGCGTCATCTAGTGGCGGGTAGCATTTTTGGTTTTTGGTCGACTGGACTGCTGTCCTTGGATGCTGTTTCCGTTTCCGTATTTTTGTTGTATGTACTAGGGCCTAGGGCTGACTAACTGACTAGGGTGTCCGTGTACCCTACGGATTTAAACTGTACCTTTTATTACATTTAATTTTGTACCCCATGGACAAGAATGAGCGACAACAAAGACCATAAGAGAATTTACAAAAATAATGTGCTAAAGAAAGAAATCACATAGAGCGAATCACGTTTTGTAATTAGTAGTGAATAGGGAAGCTGATCCTGAGAGGAAGTAGGGACATCCTTCCTGCTTTTAATAGAAAAATTGATATTCACGTAGGTCCATACCAATAAACCTCTGTCCATTTAATATATTCCCATTAAATTATTTTATTCTTGGGCAATTATGTATGCCAGTGTATGCCGTACGATACCTAATTATATTATGGCATCAGAGAATAAACACTTAATTACCTACTACTGATTACTAGAGTACCTACATAATGTACAATGTAATACCAATGTAGGTACCATTCTTAAAAACCTTTTCATTTTTACATCATCATGCTCAGCTTAAAACATTTTATTTCTTTACTTTCAGGTGTTTATTTCGACAACCGTGTGGAGCAGATAAAATTCGTCGACTTTTGCGGGAAATACAGAATTCCACTGCTTCAATATTTGTGCAGCTCCAAATGTATAACAGGCAGTTGGGAAAGTCGAGAATTGGAATATCCTTATCCACACATGATGCAAAAAGTCCTTCTCGGATAATTTCATTTATGTTACCTATCATCAGTTAATCCTTTACATATTCTAAATGATTTCTCCATTTTAATATTGCCATTGTTATGTTTAATATAATTATATATATTTTTTTTTATTGTTATTTCTTTTTATTTTCATAAGAATTTTCATAAGCATGTTATGATATGTAAATGTGCTAAATAAAAGGTTACAGATAATAATTATGTAATCTCTTTATTTCTATTAAAAGTCTTCCATTACTACAATATTTTATTGATTTGTTTCTTGTAAAAATTTCATTCTCTCTGCTTTACCCCTTAAAATAGCTTCCTTAAATAATTTACAATAGAGTTCTATAGCAATTGGGGTGTCATCATTACCAGGTACAGGGTAAGTGATTAGGTTAGGGTTAGAATTTGTGTCAACAATTCCAATGGTAGGTATTAACATTTTTGCACTATCTCTAACAGCTGTATGTTGATTCAATATGTTATTATGTATATTTAGGAAAATGCATAGATCTGGCAGCCTGGTAACTGCCCCAAATTGATGATTTGCATTTGTGAAGATACCACCTCTCCAGAATCTTGTATGTGCATACTCCCCACATTCTAGTGCTGTTCTCTCCACCAAATGTGAATTCAATGCATTCCTATTGAAGAAACATATAATACCACCTCTGTATGCAATATGAGCTGCAAAGTTGAGAGCTCTGCGTAGATGCTCTGCTGTAATATCCAAGTCAAATATTAGGTGGCCAAGTCTTGATCCATAAATATACGGCCTCATGTGATCATTGAGTGATCCTTCTTTGTGTCCATAATGTACTCGAGCCTCAAATAAATCCTTGACTGTGAATAAATTATGCACTTGAAAGTAATCTGGATGGTTTAAAGGATTTTTAGAAGAATTCCCAATTTGCACTACGTTTCCTGTAACAAAAGAGTTAGTTAATACAATGCTGTAGTACAATATTGACTTTTTGAAAGGTAATTAAGGTTTACCATACATGGAACAATACACACTCACACAACACATTAAAATATGTAAGACAATAACACTACAATAAACTTACCATCAGGAGTAGGTTCTGGTGATGGTTGGACTAAAGATGATCTGAATCTCAAAAGTGAAGGGCAGATTTTCAATGCGTTGAATCCTAAAGAAAACAATATTCTTATTGAATCATTGTGTGATGACATTAATGTTGTATTTTAATTAAATTAATTACGCAGTAACAGTGACTGTATTGAATACGAGGACTGTGTACTGATTAGTGTAATAAACACGCTTAAATAAATTAAATCTAATGGAAATTACAGAATAAATCTTAATTTTTCTTGTAAGTGAAGTGAACGTTATGCGATATTTGGACAGTGAATAAAATAATTACTATATTGTAAAATTATTTATAAACATACTTAGGCTTCCTTGCAACATTATTGTTCTCACAAAATTATAGTATTTACAGTAGATATAGCATTTATTTACGAAACTTTTAGTTCGCCCCTACAATATCAGTGGCTTTGACATTTACATAACCTCAAAAAAGGCGTACTGTGGTTGACAGATGGATGACAGTAGGACATGACACTATAGGGATGTAAGAAAAAAATCGTTCTGCTAAAAGACGATTTATTACGATTGTTTATATTATCGTAATAAATCATCTTTTAAAGATATCCTACACTAAACTGTCCTATCAAACTCATTGACGAATGCGCCCCCTGTCAATGTTACGGGTGGGATACTTTATGGTATTGGGTCTTAACATCAACGAACGCGATTGGCTTATCTCTACTTTTAATCTGTGAGCACAACTTAAAAAAAATCCAGCTGTCAACTGTCAACTGCTGTCATTTGATCGTACAGCTGTACAAACTCCCGAGCTGCTTATGACCGTGTTTTAAGAGCTAAAGCTGCTGCTAAATTGAGACATCAAGAGTTAGATAGTAAGCGACAAAAACTAAAAGAAGATCTAGAAAGACGTGAGAGAGAAGCAGCTGCTGGTCAAGCTACCAGACTCACAGATGAACAAAAATTAGCTGCAGAAATTGAAAGGTTACAAAAAGAAGGTAGCCGTCTCTTGTTAGAAGAACAACAGAAAGTCGGAGAAGAAATACAGAGGAAAATGGGAATTTTAAGTNATAACATCAACGAACGCGATTGGCTTATCTCTACTTTTAATCTGTGAGCACAACTTAAAAAAAATCCAGCTGTCAACTGTCAACTGCTGTCATTTGATCGTATAGTTCCAAAATACTGGACTGTCCTGTCGATGACATTGACAGCGGGGCGCCACCGTCAATACCGAATCGCTGGTTCCGATTTTTGCCATGTTGGAAACCATATAGTTGAACGATGGTAGCGCCCCCCTGTCATTGAGTTTGGTGGGACAGTTCAGCGTGGGTCATCTATACAGCTGTACAAACTCGTATTTTGTAAATAAAGAATAAAATCCCTTGGAATTCTATCTTAAAAGCAACAAATTTAAGATAATAAGCGTAAAACCTATATATTATTCATAATGTCAAACCTAAAGAACATTGAAGATGTAGACTTGTACGCGATTTTAGATATTCAAATTTCCGCAACAGAATCAGAGGTAATTATCATTAACCCGTTTCTTCACTTACATTATTACATTTTTTTTAATTATGGACTAAGTGTTTTTGTAAAGTATTTGAAACTTGTAGTTAGGTTAGGTTCGTAGGCTATTAATTAACATTTTAAAATACTCATGCAAAACTTATTTTTATGCTATTTTTCTTACAGATCAAGAAGGCTTACAGAAAAAAGGCACTCCAATGTCATCCAGATAAAAACCCAGATGATCCAAAAGCAGCAGAAACATTTCATGAACTGTCACGAGCATTGGAAATATTAACGGATGCGTCAGCCCGAGCTGCTTATGACCGTGTTTTAAGAGCTAAAGCTGCTGCTAAATTGAGACATCAAGAGTTAGATAGTAAGCGACAAAAACTAAAAGAAGATCTAGAAAGACGTGAGAGAGAAGCAGCTGCTGGTCAAGCTACCAGACTCACAGATGAACAAAAATTAGCCGCAGAAATTGAAAGGTTACAAAAAGAAGGTAGCCGTCTCTTGTTAGAAGAACAACAGAAAGTCAGAGAAGAAATACAGAGGAAAATGGAAATTTTAAGTGAACCTGTATGGGATTCTAGTTTAAATAGAATTAAAATTAAATGGAAAGCAGATAAAAATGATGACAACAATGGAGGCTATGACGAGCCTTTACTTAGAAGGTTCTTGAAAAAATATGGTAATATAACTGCATTGATTATGTCTCCAAAGAAGAAAGGCAGTGCATTAGTTGAGTTCTCATCTAAGGAGGCTTCCGAAATGGCAGTTGAATTAGAAAAAGGTAATATTATAATATCATTTCGATTTTTGATTTATTGGAGGTATAAATTATTTTTAATGCTTATCTTATTTTTTACTTTCATTGCAGGTTTACCAGATAACCCACTGACTTTGAAATGGGTAAATGAGAGGCCTGTATTAACCACAAAAAGAGATTATGGTGGCCCTTCACTTGTTTCAGATAGAGATTATGAGTCGTTAGTTTTAACTAAAATGCGTCAAGCTGCAGAAAGACAAAGATTAATAGAAGAAATGATGAAAGAAGAACAATCATGATATTAATCAAGTAATAAATAATTATTTATTGAACTTGGGTTCATTATTATTGCTATAATACACTTAGGCTGAGTTGCACCATCTTATTTTGACTTTATCAAACGTCAAATCTGACTAACACCATACATTAAGCACCAGTTAATGTTAAAGTTACGGTCAAAGTAAGTTACTGCATGAGTAAGGCTCATGAATAAGTCACAATGATCAGATTATTGATATTATGACAATAAAACAGTACAATTTTTTATTTAAAAAATATTTAATTTGTATTAATTACAACCATTGCTGCAGTTTCTTAATTAAAAGTAGGTTCAAATGGTTTCCATTCCTTGATAAATTCCAAAACTTTCTTTCTTTGTATATCTCCACATTCTCTTTTTGGATTTTTCCATAAATGGTGATCTAAATCTAATATACCTCCAATGATTTCCTGAAATCATAAAAAGATCATTGTGATTCAGAATTAACATTTTTCATATTCTTCTAAATTGTATAGTTTTTTTATTATTTTGCAAGCTACCTACCTCACCAAACATCTTCGGGAATAATTGCTGATCTTCTATCACATGTGCAAATCCTGGATCCATACCAAAGTCAATCCAAAAGTATGGTAAGCCTTTTGGTACTCCTTTCCTGATATCTTTGCCCTTCAAATCTACAACTTTCTTGTTCATTGACCATTCAGTCTCACATTCCAGCAAGGCTTTCTTGAAATATATTGCAGCTGTATCTCCCACATCCCTTGGTAAAGGTACACAGTTTAATACCATATGTGGGAATCTGTGCAATTTTGTTGCCATCTCAAAGAATACCACATCTTTGCCTTGAGTGTTGAAGAAACGAGTAAGTGCCTTTCTGAACGTCTGGAAACATTGATATTATTTTATATTATACATGTAAGATAAGTCTGATGTGTGTAAGATTAAATACATATTATGTGCAAAATTATACTTACCAAAATTTCTGCCCACACATCTTCATCTAAGGCTGTAACACATGTGGCATGCTGAACTGTAGTGATTATACAGTGGCCAGTTACAAGAGACTGCTTTGATGGCAGTGCTAGGTAAGTCTTGTTGCCACAACTGACCATCAAATGCTTCAACATGTTCTTAGAATCGACACAATATTCACAACCCTCCAGGGAACGCTCAATCCGAACATGCTGGTTGATTGCCCTCTGCTTTTCAGCATCTCTATCTTTTGCCTCATTTCTATTTTTCGATATATCGTCCATAAATATGTCTTCCAGATCATCATTAGGATTTTTATGTTTGGATGCAATATTGGCCAGTTGAGCCTCATCGTCATAATTGTTACCGTATTTTTCTTGTTCAAACTGAAAATTAACCACATATTAGAATAATAAAGTCATGCAAAAGCTACCAAAAAATAAGAGGATAATTGATTTAAGAAGTTGTCTTACCATTTGAGCCAAGTTGTACTTGTCATCATTCCCAAAGTACTTAGTTCTCTCACCACCTGAGTGTGTATCAGCCTTGCGCTTATTGCCTTTACTCCGAGCATCACCTTTAGCTGTGTTCATCAGTGGTCTACTGTTGCCGGAACTATTTGTGGATATCAACATCACTCTTTCATCATCAACATCTTCTTTGGCATTGGGATTTTGTTTTCTATATTCCCTAGCCGCTTCTAGCTTGGCTTTTAGTTCTTTGTACAAATTAAGATCACCCATAATTTCAGCTTTCACAACTTTTGCAGCTAGTTTGTTTAACTTCTCATCACTCATGTACAAGCTGTCTGATTTTTCTTTTGATACAGGCATTGATACAGGTTCCTCCAGAGTAGATGTGGACTGTTTAGATTCTACATTGTGTTGGATAATATTTGTTTTACTCACACTACTTTTGCTGTCATCTGCACTCTTTTTCCAGTTATGAGATCGATCATGATAATATGACCTTTCTTCTCTTGAACTCACATCTCTCTCTGACCTGTGTTCTCTATTTCTGTTAGACTCGCTTTTAGAATCTTGAGAGTACCGTGAATATTCATGACTTGTTTTTGAACTTCCATAATCTTTGGATGAACATGATTTTTTGTAATAATCATCATCATCATCAGGCGGTTTCAAAAACTGTCTAGATTTACGAAAACTCTCTGGTGTTTGAGGTAAGCCAGATCCTCCTTGTTTCCAGTAGGGATTCAGTTCCCTACTACTAGTTGCTGGATTGTACGAATCTATATGATTTTTATTTTTCTCTTCTCTTTTAGGTTTTATGTCCTCTTTTGTGTAAGTCCGTAACATACCAGTCATAGACATCCAATCTTCGCGTTCAGGTGCCTCTAATTGTTTTGATGGTTTCTTCTCTACCCATTCCTCAGATTCAGAACTGGAGCTAGACGACTGAAATAATAAATTGGATTAAAATAATTGCAACAAATTATGACTAAAATAATGTACTCCATAGAGTTAGTAGAGCTCTATGGCATAGAGCTTTATTATTCTAAGTCCATAGAAATAAAGGCATTTACACTTCGGTATCGTTTTTGCTTCTCTTCGTTCTTCTTATGTTTTTTACTATGTTTCTTATCTTTTCTACGTTTTTCTTTCATTGTTTAGTTCTTATAAAACAGCTTTAACACAGCACAGGGTAAGGTGGTGGTTGGTTTGCAGGAAGTTTGTGGTTTGCCTTTGTTGCTTGCAGATAGCTTAAATTATTCTATCAAATGGCTTCAATGGTGCGAATTTGAAGCACACTGGTTTTGCCAATGTCGAGTGTTTAGAGAGACACGGTGGACAGTAGAATTGCTTACAAATTACAAGAGTGTGATTACAAGAATATTACGCGCTCTGTGATGATTACAAGCAGTCAACTGTCAATGTCAAACAAAAAGTGCACAGATTAAGTAGAGATACTAAAAAGTGCGTCTATTTTTTTTTAAGTTTTACGTCTTTGATCATGCCACACATAGATGGAGAAAAATCCATACATACACTGCAAGATCAGCGTATAGTCATAAAGTTAATACCATGAAGCTACAGATAAAAATGGAGGCCAGACTCCCAATACCTACTTGAAGCACAAACTAAGTATCAGTATCTCGCTCTCTGTGGGCAGACTTGCTCTTTCTAAATAAACAAAAAATATAAAATTGCTCAAATTCAATGAAACCAATGTAAAATCTTTATTTCTTGACATAGGTATCATTAAAAATGATAAGTGTAGTTACTGGTAAAACGTTTTAGGAAGAAATTACTGTAAAAAATGTGAAAAATGTTTACAATGATCCAATGTCGGAAATCACGAAATAAACACTTACGCGTGGAATCTTATGTCACTTCCAGGACAGCACGTACTACCGCAACCACGCACTACAAAATTTTGCACCAATTCTTGTGATAAAACAATGATTATTTCCTGTAAACAATCTCAAACGAAATTAACTGCTTAATAAACAAAATAGTAAACAACCGCCATGATGGGCCGGATTGGGCCGATGTTGCCACATGGTACCGATTACCCAGGAATTGGGATTGTAATTCCCTGATTCGCCAACACATTAAGCCTAAATGGCCGACAATTTTGTGATTTTTTATTTAACTAGGTAATCTTAGTTTCAAATATTAATTATTTATTTGTTTAACTTCTGATTTGGTTAGTGTATTGGCTATTTCGAAGAATTTACAAGGAGATTTAAATCAGAAGATAGCAATACTACAGTTCACACTAAAAAGAGAGGTAGGGCCGCAGAGAGTGAGATAGATATAAGTAGGTATTTGACTCAAGTTTTGTTCCAAACTCTGCCCTCCATTTTTATCTGTATCTTCATGGTTAATACGTATAGTTTAATTTATATGGAATTTATGCATCTGATGGCAACGCACCACGTTGAGGGAGGGCGCTGTAGGTAAAACTTAGACTTAGAGAATTAAACCAATACTCCATAGTATTTTTTTCAGATCTTTGGAAAACTAATTATTATAATCGATTGTAAGAATCGTATTTCAATCGTAGGCTTATATCCGCCACTCGCCACACGAACTCGGTCACCTTGAATTTTTAATCTTTGACAATTAAAAAATTAAAACGTTATTACGAATTTGTCTATGATTCTAACGTCGTGTGTATTGTGATACGTACTGCCTGCCCAACAAAAAGAGAATTTAATTTAAAAAGTCGTCGATTTTCGATAAAGATGACCGATTAAATTATTCCATTTTGTACTTGTTAGTGTTTTATTACTAATCACAAATTGTTAGAAGTCTCAAGACAATATTAATCAGTTAATTCAATTTGCTTGGTAACTAATGGCTGCTATGGAATGTCGGAGTAGGTTGTTGATTTAGTATTCAGTTTGTGTTCTTGAGTCCTACAACTGGCTAAAGGTTAGTATAGACTTTATTCTTGTATTGTTTGGTAATATGCTTCGTAAGAAGCTATAAAAATACATGCTGTTATGTTCGCCCACTGACCAACCAAAAAGAAAGTGCAGTGGCGTATTTGATCGTCGAGCTTTCTTTTTCTAGTTACAGAGATAACAATAGTCGAAGATGACATAAATTCATCAAATCAATTCTTGATTTTATTGTAGATTTCGTACTATGATAATGTTGCATTGTTAACATTTGTTTTTACAGTCCAAATATAACTTGAGTTACTAAAAAATGTTCTCGAAGAAGAAGAAGAAGCCACTCATTTCTCCACCAAGTAATTTTGAACACAGAGTTCATACTGGATTTGATAAGAGAGAAGGAAAATTTGTGGGTTTACCATTACAGTGGGCCTCTTTAGTAGGTAACAACCAGGTAAGAAAGCAATTTTGAACATTAGTACACCTTAAAATTAATTAAAATTCTAGTAAATATCTAATGAATATTTAATTTTCAGATACTAAAGTCCACTAACCGACCTCTGCCTTTAGTAGATCCCTCTGAAATAACACCAACTGAAATACTAGATCTCAAAACTATTGTGAGAGGTGACCATCGAATTACCTCAGTTTCTTCCATCAGTCGTCCAATGTCTACTACCATGCCAAGTCAACCAGTTCAGAATGGTGTTATTCTGCCGAAGACTTCAAACGTTGCCAGGTCTAACTCATTGAGGAGTTCAAGCCCACCGAAGATCCGTAGAGAGTTAAGAAGTCAGGCTAATGTGCCTCCAGCTGTGCCGGAAGAGTCTCCCCCTGTGCCTCCAGCACCACAGCAATACCCCAGTTTGCGAAGAGAGCCAAGCAACTATACTTTGAGTAAAACGATACCTGAATCCCCTGTGGACTGGTCTCAATCAACACACGAAGCCACAGTAAGGGCCGTTCCAGAAGTAAATGATAATCACCGGGTGGGCATGACATATCTGAATGTGCAGAATGCTAATGTGCCTTACCAACACAATCATCCTCCTCAGCCAATGGTTCACAACATGCACCAAGGTCACAATGGAAATAATGCCAACATGGGTGAGCTTTTTTATTATTTTGAGGCTGTTCCTTGACTTCGGATTTAACTCAACCATTTTCATAATTTCTTAATATTATCATTGTTTGTTGTACAAAATTTAAATGTTTGTTTACGTTTTATGTCTGGAGCATGTCTATTTCATTTAAACCCCAAGAGGAAATAACAAAGGCAAATGTAATCTATTATGTGATAATTAACAGTTTAAGAGACCATGTCCTACATGCAATTCTCAACCTATTGTTTTACTATCGTCTTGTTTGTAGACAGTGAATAACTTTATATTGTAATCATTAGATTAACTTTTAATGCACAACATAATTTACAACAGCATCAAATTGCTCAGTATCACTAGGCAAGTATTTAATACTAGCTTTCTGCCCGCGGCTTCGCCCGCGCGTGGACTTTTGTCTGTCACAGAGAAACTTTATCACGCATGTCCCTGTTTCAAAAAGAAAAAGAAAAAGGTTCAGTGGTTTAGGCGTGAAAGCGAGACAGAGAGACAGAGTTACTTTCGCATTTATAATATAGTATAGATTAGTAATGTACAATGCACCTTATCTGTAGGTGAGTCATACCCAATGGCGCGTCACCAACACGCGGTACCGGCGGCCGCGGCGCCGCACCTGCCTCTCGCCGCCTCCAAGCACGAGCTGCGGCTCACTCACGAACAGGTATCGCGTTACTTTGTCATTATCATTGCATTAATGAGCAAGCCTTTTATGGTTATGCTGGTGTTGATAAACAACTTTGAAACAAGTGGTGCAAGGTCGTGAACGAACCCTTTTATGGAATGTTTTCTACTGTTACAAATTACAATAACTGTTTATAGCTTGAATATATTTAGATAATTCATATTTTGAAATTATTATTGTAATTTTATTTTCAACATTACTATGACAAAGCAGAAAGTTTCATTATCTTAAAGGCATGAAAATTGCTTTTTGCAGTGCCCTTGCAGAGCTCATGCTGTGGGATTTTTTAAAAGTAAACTTTCTGCATATAGGCTTTTAAACTATTCTCACAGTACCTACAAACAGTATTAGATCCAATTCATTTAGCAATCTGATATCAATAATTTCATCTGCAGGCAGTGGTAGGGTTTATTGGGACATGTAAAAGTGCTTTTTAGGGCCCTCGCCCACGGCGACTTTTTGTAGTGATTCTGTAGTGCGTTTAGTTACTAACGCGCGTTAGTCGCATTTGCAACGCACTACAGAAGCGATGCCAACGCGCTACTAACGCGCGACCTTGTCGGACGACATCGGGGAGAGTTACTCGGAAGGGAAACGTAGGAAGCGCGTTTATGTGGGCGAGGGCACACAGCTAGCGACCGCATTGCGACTGTATCGATACGAACGCGCGACAGAATCGCTACTGCATCACTACAAAAAGTCGCCGCGGGCGAGGGGCAATAAACACCAAGTTGTTTCCATATCGTCGCAGATGACCGCTGTCCCTGCGACGCAGGCGCGGATCCACCGTTGTGGGCACTGTGGGCATGCCCACAACCCTAATTTGCTTGTTTTAGTTATGATCTATTGATAAGATCGATAGGCATGTATGTACCTATGTCCGGGCATGTAGTGATCCAACTCTCACTTTGGTAATTTTTTGTGGCTGTGCCCACAACCTTTTTTGAGGGCTGGATCCGCGCCTGCTGCGACGACCAAACCCCGCAAACCTGGGAACACCTACTTACTCAGTGCCCTAGATTCAGCACACAAAGATTCGCATACGAAACCACTTCCCGTCAGTTAAGAATAAACCCCTACAATCTTGAAGAAATTACCAGTAAAGAAGACACAACAAAAAGCTTACATATCATACATTGTTAGCAGTCTAAAAGATTTTAACAAAACTCAAACAATCATATAGCCATAATCTCAATCACTGCCTTGCAATGAGGGCTATCGTTTTTATATGCCTACAACTTTAGCACTCGCCAATTGGTGCCACTGTCTTCGCTACTAGCAAGTGACAGGACCTTACTCTACAGTGGCGCTAACTGGTGAGCGCTAAAACGATAGCCCTCATTGGAGTACTCCACTAGCTCCAATAGCACTTACTTATAAAAAAACCTAATTGCAAAAATAAATGAGTTTTTATTCGTCCCCAGTTCCGCGCAGCTCTGTGCCTGGTGGTGAGCGAGGGTGACCCGCGGGCTTCCTTAGCGGGCTTCAGCAAGATCGGCGAAGGCAGTACGGGCGTGGTGTGTGTTGCCACAGAGAAGGACACCGGCCGCCGCGTCGCCGTCAAGATGATGAACCTGCGGCAGCAGCAGCGGCGCGAGTTGCTGTTCAACGAAGTGGTAAGTATACCGTCAGAGGCTATGAGGTTTTGGCAGTGCCCAGCGAAGTAGCTTGTCTGTTTTTTTGAGTATAGTGAAAGAAACGAGTCATAGTGAGCGGATTTCTAGATGACAAACTAGCAAGCAAGATTTTCTATGAATTATAATTATAAACCGTGTCAACTCGAGGTGGTCAATATTCTTTGTATGAAACTCCATACTTCAACACACACTTATCCGCACCGTAACGTAAACGCCTCGCCTCGCGATTGACAACGCGCGTATGGCGATGACAGCTCGCGAAAGGCGATACGGTTTTGATTCCTTTCCGAGCTGACAATCTGCTATGAGCTTTAACTCTGGGTTTTTGGAAGGTGCACTCACAGTCTTTCTACGATAGACCGAAATTCACGCGGGAATCTGAAATTAGTTAGGCCCTGAACCAGTTTGAAACTGGTTTGAAATGGTCGAGTCATGTGTGGTTTCTCAACGGAATCTATGGCAGAAACTTAGATGCAACTCAAAAGTAAGTAGAAGTTGCAGTTTCGTTGCAATTGCGTTTCACCGTGTGTTCTGGGCCTAAATTGAACTTTCAACTTTTTGTTTTTAACAGGTGATAATGCGCGACTACCCTCACCCGAACATCGTGGAAATGCACGCGTCGTACCTGGTCGGCGACGAGCTTTGGGTGGTGATGGAATACATGGCGGGCGGCGCGCTCACCGACATCGTGACGCGCCACGCCGCGAGGATGGACCCCGAGCTCATCGCCACCGTCTGCAAGCAGTGCTTGAAGGTGGGTGGCCGATGTGGGTGGTGGAGCACATGGCGGGCGGCGCGCTCACCGACATCGTGACGCGCCACGCCGCCAGGATGGACCCCGAGCTCATCGCCACCGTCTGCAAGCAGTGCTTGAAGGTGGGTGGCGGTGAATGTATACTGTATAGTCTGGTCCGGGAGCACGTAGAATTTTGTGGGACGCAACTGTGGGACGGGCACCCGCAGTGAGAGTGCGAGCGCGACAGCAACATAATTACGCGCGTGCGATAAGGATGGGTAGCTTGGGGTCATTGGACAAAATTCTACGTGCAATTACGCCCTAGCAATTCTACAGAGAACTTCTCTACTCCAACAGCCATTACCTCTACGAGCTAGGTGCCCTGCCCACTGCCACTCGAGTTTAGTAATTCTGTGGGCTATGTCGGTCACTGGTTTTTCTGGATATCATTTCTGATTAAATCACGCAGGGAAACTGAGCATATCACGCTCCATCGCCCTTTGGGTGACCTTGAGCCTTCTTATGAGGCCCATAGTAAGCGACCACGTCTCGGATATCCTTGGATATAAAATATAGCCAATCTTAACATTTTGCTGTGTGTTATTTTGCAGGCGTTGGCGTTCCTCCACGCTCAAGGCGTCATACACAGAGATATCAAGTCTGACTCAATACTCATGACAGCAGACGGCCGCGTCAAACTGTCAGATTTCGGTTTTTGTGCTCAAGTATCTCAGGTACGTAATCAGAACCTTTTGAAGTATTATGAAATTATATTAAGTATGTAATAAAATCAATTTAACACTATTTTTTATGGCAGGAACTTCCAAAACGAAAATCTCTCGTGGGAACACCATATTGGATGTCACCTGAAGTAATATCGAGATTGCCATACGGTCCCGAAGTGGATGTCTGGTCGTTGGGCATTATGGTCGTGGAGATGGTAGACGGCGAGCCACCATTCTTCAATGAACCACCCCTTCAGGTGAGTTTATGAATTGAACAATGTTACTTGATGAGGGAAACAGTTCAGCACCGATGAGACGTGTCCGACGTTTAGACAACAACTGAGCTGTCGACACGCCGTACCCGTCTTTTATAAGCCAAACAAGCTTGATGAGGTGGGAGAACCACGTCACCAGGTGCTTACATTTTGTTTGGGCTCACTTTATACTTGATTATCTGCGAGTCTCATAATGAGACCATGCCTGAAGTTATGTTAAACATTACTGCACTTTTTTTGTTAATCAAGATAATTTTGCAATTGGAATGATGACTGGGCCTGGGTAATGAAATCGAAATTTTATTTAGTCCGTCAGACAGATATTGAAAAAATATTGGAAACGTATTTTTTCTTTTTTTCATAATAGAATCATTACAGAATTATATCGAGTTGAAATGTCGCGTGACGTCACTTTTGAGTAAAAAATCTACTCAAAAGTGACGTCATGCTATATTTGAACTCGATGTAGCACTGTTATTATTTAATTATGAGAGAAAATAAAAAATACGAGTCTAATATTTTATAATTATTTGTCTAACGGACAAATAATTGAAATTTTGTCATCTTGGCTATTATTTATTTTTATTTATTTATTTAAACTTTTAGCACACATACAAACAATGCACTGTGGCGAACTTTATTATAAATATGTGTATATTTTGAACAGGCGATGCGGCGCATCCGCGACATGCCGCCGCCGCGGCCGCGCCACGCCGCGCGCTGTCCGCCGGATCTCATGTCCTTCATCGAGTGCGCCCTGGTGAGGGACCCCGGCGCGCGCCAGTCCGCCGCCCGCTTGCTACACCACCCGTTCTTACGCCGCGCCGGACCGCCGGCTTTACTTGTGCCGCTGATGCAACACCATCCACACGTGCAGCAGTAGAAGATTGCCCCAGTGAAATGTCAGTACTTTCTTCCATATCCGCAGCGACCCATAATGACCAAGCTCCGTACTTTCTTCCGTCTAGGCTGTGGCCCGCCGGATCTCATACCGTTCGTCGAGCGAAGCCGGCGGTCTTCTGTAGAACAAATAGGCTACCTTCCTAAAATCAGCAGCAGTAGAACGAATAGGCTACATTCCTAAAATCATTTTTTTAGTTCGTCAATTTTAATACCAAAAAATATTGGACACGAATATTTTTAATTGACAATCAACAAATAATTATAAAGTTATGGTGCGTTAAAGTTCCGCGCGACGTTCCAAAGTGCTGCATTTTTAAGCACTCGTTGACGTCACGGGCTTCTTCTTTTAGAAGTCTAGTAGTCTAGTTAGGCGCGCTTTATCTCTTTAAATTATCATTAGTTTGAAAAAGTGAAAGATACGTGTCGGGTATTTTTTGATAAAACTGACGGACTAAAAAACTTGCTTTTTTACCCAGGAAACATCCCTATTGCCCCAGTGAAATAAGTCAGTACTTTCTTCCATATCCGCAGCGACCCATAATGACCAAAAGTATTGGTCAAACTCCGTACTTTCTTCCGCCCAGGCCGTGGCCCGCCGGATCTCATACCGTTCGTCGAGCGAAGCCGGCGGTCTACAGTAGAACGAATTGCCCAGTGAGATTATGAGCCAGCTCCAGAACATTCTACCGAAGAAGAAGTAACTAAAATTCAATGAAGCGAATTTATCATGCATCTTTTCTGATGCTGTCAATTCCTAAATGTTGCTCACCCCTTATTCTGCCTGACCGCTTCACCATAATTATTTCGATATTCCTCATAGCCTTATTTACCATGAAAGCCCCTGTACGATTCGTATGGCGTGTTGGATATCCGATGTTATAGCACAGCCTTAGAATAAGGAAAAATGCTCCAGAGAGCCTAAGCCAGTGATTGCCAATATATTTTACACACACGACGAATAGTAAAAGTTGGCCAGCTCTTTCAGGTGAAAGAGTTTACTAGCTAACCGATGAATTACGCTACATAGTTGCCACCATGTCTAGTTAGCGAGTGATATTGTAACAAGTTTACAAAGTGGCATTTTTTAAGAAATGACCGGCCTCAGCTTTACCTTTACATACGAGATATGGATAAGATTATATTTAAAAAATTAAGAAATTAGCTAGCACGTTGGCTTAGAAAACTAATTGACAAGTCATAGATGAGTGATGATTGCCCCACCTTACCTTCTGTCCCTATTTTGCATCAAATTAGATGCATAACAGAACTATTGTTAATAATCAGAGTAGCATGACATACCAAAGTTGTTTGTATCACAACTTTCTCTTGTAATACCTGCTAATTGAGGAAAAGCAACAATGTGATTTGGTTGTGATCTGTTATGTAGAGGATTGATCACAATTTTGTGACGATAATATTTTATAGTTGATATTAAAAGTTTAATCATGGTGTAAATTTTGAATCATTATATCTTAGAATTAATTGACTGAATTAAAGCGCTTATAGTTATTACATGAATGGATGTCTATTGAAAGTATAAATAAAAATATACCTGTCCTACTTCGTTATACAATTTGTTTTGCTCTTCCTCAATGCGTGGGACACTATGTATGATAGTAATTTGTTGTCATTATTGTAATCACTTCTGATTCAGTGAAGTCATTCCATTTTTTTGTATTTATAACCAATTTGTTGTTGGCAAATCTTTTTTATATTTCTGACAAAATCATTTAGATGGTAATGAATAATATATGAATGTGTAGAAATATTTAAGCATGTAATTAATTAGTATTATACAACATTCCTTCTTTTTTTCCAATTAACTATTTATAAATTTTAGCCATATTTTCATATTGAATCATTTTACTTATTGTTGAGAGTATTTTTATTGCGTTTATTATCATTAATATTATTTAACAAGAGTTGTAATGCATTAATGATTAAGGCTACTTAATATGGCATATTATGATTATTTTATGTTTAGGACTGATCACTACAAAAGAGTAAATAAAAATCATAGAAATTGAAATTCTGGCATAGCAAGATGTTGAAAATTTAATCCCAATGATACTTAAAATATTAAGATGATTGCAAGTACCTCCTACTTTCTATTTAACCTTTATTTAGTAACTTTGGTTGGGCGGTTGTATTTTATGTTAAGACATTTACTTAGACTAAATTACCTCATTGTGTCATTCAAAAGTACCAAATGTGATATTAGTTCACCATGACTGTTTCTTCTCATTGGTTACCTTTAGTGCCTTCAACCATTATCTATATAGATACATAGATATATCCAGTGACCTTACGATATTTATCTACTCTCGTGCCAGAATTAGCGCCTTTATATTGGCAGTAAAAATTTCTAAATCAGTATTATTGCCTAGCAAAATTACTTTTTGTACTTATTTGTTCATAATATGGATTTAGTATGTAGGATCACTTTTCATTTGTTAGGCTAGTGTTCTTTTAATCTTTGCAGTGCAGCTATTTTTATAATCACTACATTCCTCATATATTTTCATTGTAAGTTAATTTTGTGTTTATATCATCAATGTTTTTTAGTTTTATCTACAGTCATAAAGTCACAAAGTCTTTCTTCAGTGCAAATATACAATCATAGATTTATCATTATCAATTTGGCCTTAATACATCTGTGATTTAGACTCCTACGGCGCATGTGCGTATGCCAATTTTATTCAACGTAAGTTATTCACGAAAGCAGCATTAGTCTTACTATCGATACTTTATTTGTTGTAGTAATGAATAGTGAGGCTAATATGTTAGACGAATACAGTAAAGTATCATGTAGTATAATACATTAGTACTTAATAAATTAGGCAGCTAGACTTGGTATCAAATTAAATATGAGATCGACTATAATTGTTTAGGTGATGAATCGGCCTTGTTAATAGATTAGTGCCTTACACAGCCTAGATTTAAATGATTTTAAGCACGTTTGCACTTAAAGTTGTTACTGGGTACTTATTTATATTACTATAGATTGTTATGTAGAACAAAATGTTATGAAATTATACACAATCCATTGTAATTCTTGTTGACTTTACTATAGTTAAGAGTGAACTTTCACAAAATGTATGTCTACAAAAACATGTTTTCTATTTTTATTGATTCGAGCTTACTAAACGAGAATGACATACCTACTTTATCGGGTCAATTTGTAATATTGGAAATCTATACAAAAATGTCGTCCATGTTGTCCCATCACAATAATGTATGTACCCGAGCAAGGAATCATGCATGTCAATGTAAATTATTATTTTGTAACAATATCTTTTTGTAATATGCCAAATATAATGGATTATGATATCACATTGTTGATAAGATTTGTTAGAAAATATAGATTTTGAAATAAATATCATGAGTTTTAATTCGATTTTTAAAACAAACCTTTCGTAATTCTGCTTATTTAAAGATAAATAAAATCATTTATTGATACTAAAGATCAAATTTATTTTCAAGTTAAAGTTATTTATAATTCACGTAATTAATACAAATATAAAGAGATTATTTATAGAATTCATATTCACTCTCATCTTTCTTGATGTTGTTTTTGTAGCCCTTCTCGAAGTCTTTCGGCAAAACGATATACCTGGAATTGGAAATATTTTCGTTATAATGAACCAACCAACTAACTTTACGAGTAAAATCTTCTCAAAAACACGGGCCAATTGGAACTAGGTACAGGCACAGAATAATAATAAGTACCGTACACCTGTACGTGTTAATACCTGTAATTATATTGTTGTCGCGACTATGCGCAACTATGCAAAATATAATTACGCGCAAGAGAAGGATGGGTAGTTTGGGGTCATTAGACTAAATTCTGTGCTCGGTGACCGGACTTTAGTTTTATACAAATTCCAATAAAACTACACTGGTCATCATAAAAATCGACCCACCCGCGACAAGCACTTTCAAACGTATGCATCCCCACTTCCCACCAATATTACTATACTATATTACCATTTAAAAGTCTAGTTCTAAACTTCATTTCATTAAAGGAAAGGTTTTTACCCCAAAAATGTGTCTGTAGAAGAATCCAGAGTCACTTCTTCAAAAAATAGGTAGTTACGTGAGCCAACTTTTATGGCTATAAAACTGTTAAGTTGGGATTAATCGCTATCCATCTGTTAAAGAGGACACGTGAGATCATTATTTGGTTTTATAACCATAAAAATTGGTCTAATAGATCCCAGAGGTGAGCCCAAAGTGAGGTCTTTTTTCAAGTTTTTCAAGTCACATTTATTGTTATGTTAATCGTTTATTAGGAAATTAAATGTGTTTTTCTTTAAGGATATTTATTGGGCTTTCAAATAACACCAATATTGTTGGGGCACCATGATTGTGTCAGTAGAAACGAGTTTTTCTGTAAAACGTAGGTGGGTCGATTTTTGTGATGACCAGTGTATATTGTTATACTAGCTAGTAATCACCTGTTCTCGCGCACGGCGTGCATGCCGGCCTCCTGGCAGATGGCGTTGATGTCGGCGCCCGACACGCGGTCCGGCCGCGCCACGAACTCCTCCAGGTCCACCTCCTCCGACAGATTCATCTTCGCCGTGATGGTGGAGAAGATCAGACGCTTCTGACGCCTGCAACAGAATGAGTAGTCAATTATTGGGGACGAAAATTAATAGTCCAATCACTGGGTACGAAAAAGAGGCCTTAGGCCTCAGCCTCGAGTTTAGCGGGCAACGGGGCGGAAGCGGCGGCGGCGCGGGAGCGGCAGGATCTTATGCGTAAAATCAAATAGACCGGTTCTCGAAAACAGCGGCGCGGGAGCGGGCAGCGGCGCGGGAGCGGGCAACGAGCGGGCAGCGCACTCCTTCTTTTGCCCACAATAAATCGAGCGTTAGGAATAAATTTGAATCGAAATAAAATTGTCGCCGTTGTTCAGACATTTCGTTTGCGAATAAAAACAAATATCTCAACAACACAACCCCGAACACAACACTTCGCCGCTAAAGCGCCGCGCGAGCTGCCCGCCTGTTTCGAGAACGGGTCTGCGTTGCCCGCCCCGCTCCCGCGCCGCCGCCGCTCCCGCCCCGCTGCCCGCGAAACTCGAGGCTGAGGCCACAGAACATAGAAAGAAGTTAGAAGGGCTATCTCGCATGATTAGTATCGGGACCGCTGTCGCCATTTCTCCCACTTTCTTTCTGCGCCACTACTAACANTTTTTGAAGTCGGTTGAAAATATATAACCACCATTTAAACAAACATTACAATAAGATAAAAGGTGCGATTTATGAAACGTCATCAACTTCAAAGGGTCTAGTAAACACTAGCAATAACCAAAACTGAAGTGCAGATAAATTACTTACTAATAGCTCGTAAGGACAAGCTATGGAACTATGGGCTGAAAGGCTGGTACAGGTTTTATCAATACCGTATAATAAGCCAACTTGCTGAACCAAATATTTGTTACGAAAGTGATTCTTTCACTGCTTTTACTGGTTTACTGTAAGTTGGTGTACGCTAAGGAAAGTTGGCAGACTGTGAAAGAAAGTATGAGAAGCGTAACAATGAAACAATTTTCATAATGCTTTGAATGCAGGAGAGCCCTTACAAATGGTAGAGTTTGCCAAAAAGCAAAAAGACTTTTGTACAAAACTTTGGTTTCGAAACAATGAGCTTTTAGGTACCTATTTGTTACGGTAGCGCATTTTCTTACATAACTTTTCAATTCCTATCATTGGAGGTCCGAAAATATTTCTCATACAATTTGATATCATAATGATCATTCTTCATAAAAAATTTNGTAAAGTCCAAAAAGTTACAAAAAAGCCATATTATGGCTTTTCAAAAAACTAATTTCTTTTCTGGGCTATTCACTCTAATGACGATTTTTAATGTCGAAATATTGCCAAATAAAATAGGCGATCTTTTTTTTGACTGATGGTCTGATGACATACAGGGTGACTTTGAAATCGTTGGCATCCTTTTAATATAAGACTACTCATGATACATGGTGCTCCTAAAAAGAGTTTAAAACTATTGTACAGTCGTCAGCACATCATCCTATACATTTGTCGGCCGTTTGGTGTAGTGGTTCAAGAACGGACTACTATGCCGAGAGGTCCCGGGTTCGATTCCCGGCCGGGCAGAAATTGAAATGATGAATTTTAATTTCTGTGACGGGTCTGGATGTGACTATGTATAATATTTATGTATTTAAAAAAAAAAAGTATATAAGTAGTATATCCGTTAAGCTAGCACCCATAAGTTATGGGTGTAATGCTTGTGTTATGGGCCATAACACAAGCATTAAGTTGCTTACTTTGGGGCTAGCTGGCGCTGTGTGAAATTGTCCAAAGATTTATACTTATACTTATTTTGTTGCAAAATAACACTTAATACATTGAAATAAGATGCCACAATATGAAGATTGATGTGCTGTCGTCTGTACAATATTTCAAATATTGAAATTTTAATTCATTTGATATGACTCATATTTGGGGAATCATGAGTAGTCTTATTTTAAAAAGAATGCCAACGATTTCAAAGTCACCCTGTATAATGCAGTTCATTCAGATTACGCAGCAAGTAAACTAATTGAATTTTCGCTATTCAATCATATACTCACNAAGTAATTTGAACTTAATTGTTTTTATGAAAATTTACCGATTTTTGGCTATCAGCTTTGGCCTATTGTAATCCTATTGTAATCTTTTTTTTTTTTGATACAAATAAATTGTTGTGTGCTATTTTAATAGTGATACTTGTGAGTATTATTCATAATTATCACCAATAAAACAAGTACAATTTAGTTTTCGCCAAAATGAGAAAAAAAAACCCAACAATAGGTGAAAGTCAAAATCACAAAATTAAGCCTATCTCCTAAACTAAGCAAGATCGTAGAACATTGTAATGGGGATGATTTGGATACACCTTGATATAATTAATCTAAATTTTAGGTTTATATGTCAACTGCCTGGCCACCCTGTACTTATATTCCCCTTTGAGAAAAATCAATATAATTATTTCACGAAATTAAGAACACGAGTAGACTGCACAACTGCACAGGGCTACTATCGTTGTTGTTATTATTTAAATAATTTATTTTCCATTCAATTGTCTCCTTACATCACGATATAATGTAGTACCTTGTCTTATTTTATAGTTTTGCCAACCTGAGCCTAATACCTGTAAATAATTTTAAAAAAATCCGTTTAATAAAAGATACATACGACAGAATAAATAGAAATTATTTTTTCCCGAGGTATCGCACCGTCTATTAAATATTTATAGCCAGACTTTTTAATTGCATAATCCTTCGGATTAAAATGTTTGGAGCATATGGTGCTACATTTTGTAGGAATCCAATCTTCCCGTCCTGTAGCATCTATCCACAATTGCCGTGTTTCTGGATTCTTAGGAAATCTTGAAACAAAACATGATAAATAACCAAAATTAGTAAATATAATTAATGATTAAACGAACTTAAAAAGTGAAGTTCTATCATNTATTTGTTGACATTTAATCAACGACTAGAAATAATTTCGTATTTAATAAGCTATCTTACATATAATTACATTATAATTCAACTTCCGTAAATGTATTATTTACACTTAACATTTATCGATAAAGTATGTTTCGAAACATTAATGGTACGCGTCACTAGTGCCACTACTACGTAATGTGGTCAGTGGCAGGACGCAACGCCATCGCTAACGCACTATATATTGAGCAGTCTTACTGCCATCGGTAAAATCTTAGGCGTACGTAGCCAGTAATGTATATTTTTTAGAATTTTAATATTGAAGCT